TTTCCAAAATATCAAAAGGTTGCACTTAAAGCAGTACTAGCAAGGAAATGCACTATTAATAAACTTTCAGCCTTTGGGTCACCTAGAATATGGCTTAAAAAAAAAAAAAAACCCTGCTAAGTGACACTTAAAATCATGACCTTTAATATAACTTTAAAATAGCTCACCCAATTTGCATAATTGCCAGAAATGACATTCTTCAGCTCTATGTAGCACTTTTTCTCACAAAAGAAATGAAGACTTGGAGACCCATGGCCAAAACAGGCTTTCACAGTAGGTCTACAATAATTTTGGTGCAACCCCCGCCTGATTTCCAAAGAAATTTTAAAAAGTACCCACTTTCTTTCCACCATAGAGAAAGGGAATTCAGCAATGGCCACAATTTGGAGAATATAAATCTCTCTCTCTCTCTCTGGCTAGGTATCTTCACACTAAAGCATCCTGAGATGGGGTATATGCAGAAGGAGATGGTGAAAGGGGCAGAGGGGGAGGCCACATGGTCAGAGAAGGAATTATGCAGAAGTTCACCTGCTGTTGTCACGATCAAGACATGGAGAGGAGCGGCTGCAACAGAATAGATACTTTAGCACAGAGAAGGAATGGATAGAGTGAAATATAAAGAAGGAAATCAGAAGTGACTTTCAACTGAAACATATTACTTATACACCAATACAGTATTCATCGAAAAAAAGATGGAAATACAAATGAGATATAGCTCTATGCAAATGCGGAGAGAAGAGCAAGGTATGGGGGTTCACAGTGACTCCCAGTTGAGAGAACTGGGGATAGGATAAAAATCACTGGATTTGGATTTGTAGCCTTATTCAACACTGGCTGGGGGAGGGATGCAAAACATCAAGGTTCTTATAATGAATGTCACAGAGTCTTCGATTTGATGGACATAGTTTGTCTCCAAACTTTTCACTCATACTTTTTTTTAATACTTTCAAAATAATGGTAATGCCCTTTTGGGCTTCTACCAAAGAAAGGCAAACAGAAGAGGCACAATTTAAAGATTGGCTTCAATGACAAAGAGTAGCATCAACTCTAAGGTAGAGCAGATAATTACCTACTAGTAGGTAACAAAAAACTATGCAAACAGAGTGCTTTTCTCAAGACTTTCATTCCCTGCTTTGCGGTTTGTTGTCCTCACTGGTCATATTGTCCAAACCCACTTTACAATCTTTTCATTCCTCTTCTACTTATGTCTACTCTTCTGTAAAACCCTCTGTAAGTTTTCATAGGATTCACTTGTGCTTTCAACACCTGACAATACACAAAAGGATACATGCTAAATGGACCAGAAATCCAACCTTACAAAACAGTTGTTTTGCCACTTAGAAAATAATTTTCTTCATCCAAAGGAATTTATCTTTCTGTACCTTAAAAAAAACTAGGGTGTTTGAAATACATAAACAACTAAATTAACTGATCTAGGTATTTGATAAATATTAATACTGTCAAATGAGGAACAGTCTTGACTTCCTTGAGTTTCTAAGATCAACTTCCACTATTTGAGCTAATTGCCTGCACAGGTTTTTTTTAACTGATTTTATTTTTTAGAGTAGCTTTAGGCTCACAGCAAAATTGTCAACATGTTTTTATGAAAAATAAGTCCTTTAACAGATCACTTTCTTATGGACTTCTAGTAGCATAACATCATGAAGTGGCATTTAATTGCTGGCATTTGGCTGGCACTAAGGAACTATAAAAATAATACCATTGAAATAATAACATTTAAAATGAATCACAAAACTATTACTAGAAACTGTGCCTTTCATTTGTTAATTCATTATGCACTTCTGAAATGGAGAAGAATTATAAAATTCAAAATCTTGCCCAAGCTTATGTTGGTATGATCATGACTGGGATGCTAGAAATGACTACTGATTAGACTGTGAATCAGTAACACAATCCAAAGAACAAAAACAAAAATATTACGGTAAGACTTTCTTTTGCCAGATATTGGCTGCATATATTGGGCAGAACAGATTTTTTTTAAGCACTGATACCTACTCTTTTGTAGTCATCCACTTTAGTCAATGGAAAAATAAAATTACTAATACTGCCTACTGGTGGAAGGTGTGTCTCCTATTACTCTCAAATCCCTTTATGGAATCAAAAAGAATATTATACCCAAATTAGTGGCATGTACATAAAAAAGCTGACTCTGTTATCTCCTTTGTCTAAAAATCATTTATTTCTTACATTTTGGGCAGATTTTGAAGTGGCTTAAGAATTCTCTCAATTAATTAAAGAAAAACTTAGTTCCTTAAAAAATATATAAAAACTACTACACGGGTGCCTCATGTATAATGAACAAGTTGAAAAAAAGAAATCATTATTAGATGATATTATGAAAATTATTCACATACTTTAATACCATGGTAGCTTTCAAATACCATGACACTCAAAATCATTGTGTTTTCAGTGTAAGTATTCATCCCATTAGAGTCATCTGTTGCATTGTGTTCATTCAAATGCTAGAGACCTCACTAGATGACAGATTACCTGATAAAAATAACAAGTCAAACATTACCATTATGAATTGCACTAATAGTAGTATTGTCATTTAGAGGATTCAGAATACATTCTGCTTAACTGATTTGGAATTGGTGAAGGATTTGGAAGATGTATATGAGGGTTATATAAATACTAATGGCTATAATCTATTGAGTGCTTATTCTTTCTAGGCAAAATGCTAATTATTTAAGAAGCATTTAATCCATAAAGCTCCCCTATGGGGTCCATAATATAACATTCATCTTACAGACAGTGTCACATACTGAGTGTCAGGGTCGGGAGCTGAATTCTGACTGGTCTGACTCCAAAGCACACTCCTAACCACCATGTTATCGCTCTTCCACAGATTATCTTTCAACGACAGAGAGGTGTGTTTCTTAAAGGTAAGGGCTAGATCTTACTTATCTATTTTCCTTACTGCCTGGCATAAAGTTTGGTACTTTGTAGAATTCAACAATGTGTGAAGAACAAATAAGTGAATGGAAGAGATTAAAAAAAAAAAGCATTTGAGAGAACTAGGTATATGTTAATTACCTAGATCTCCCCAATAATCAAAGCTTTATCAGGCAAAGTTGCTCCTTTCTAACGGTGTATACATAAAACACACGTATTTGGACTACTGGTGCTTGTAGAAAATGCCCATGCTCAGGCTGCAACAACAGAGATTTAGATGTAATTGGTTTGAGTTGGGGCCTGGGTATATTTTTTAAAGCTCTGAGGTGATTCTAATATACAGCCAGAGTTGAAAATTACTTACAATCAATGATCATGTTTGAAGTTCATAGAAAATTTGGTTTATTACAGAACAAGAGCTTAAAGACCCTTATCTTAACAAGTTAACTTTTAACTGCTGGATGATCCTGCTTCATCACAAGTTATCAACTAGAATGCATATATCTATGCATATATCTAGTTTTATACAACTGGTATGTATATTGATGTCCTTTAACTGAGTATTTTATCGCCCTTCAGCAGTTAAAAGACTTTAAGAAATCTTTTTTAAAGTAAATTATTTATTTTGAAAACGGAAGTATTATGATAACACTTTGACTCTTGCAAATTCGCCTACTGATAGTAATCACGTTTTGCCTAAAATAATCTTGTCACTTTGTAGGCTGGATATAGACTTCAAATATTTTATTATGGTTTCTAGATTTTATTATCCCCTGATACTGTAGGTCCAAGCCTCTTTTCCTCCCTAGCACTGTTGAGAAATTTAGTAGCAGAATGTAATGTTATGCTCTTAGAATAATGTACAGATGTCAGATTTTAATTATCTCATTTTATACCTAAAAATATGTTAGTAAATTTGGATGAGGTTTAACTTGGTTTTTACTCCCTTGAAATGACTCTGGCATCAGGAACTGGCTTTTACTTAAGAAGGAAAAGAGTATTATGATTATTTTTAATATCTGTATAACTAATTTTATATTCTATGAGCCTGTAGTAGAAAATTAGACTAAAGGTTCCCAAATTTTTAATTTTTAATATTTGACAATATCTTCGAATGCTTTTCTGAGAGAATATTTTAGAATAATAAAAACAAGAAAGCATCCACCACTCAAAATAGTTCTGGGGATTATGGATAAGGAGTTTGGGATAGTAATTTAAATCAAAGTACTGCACAGATAAAATACAAGTGGGGCTTTTTTAAATGAAAATGAAAGTGATTAAATGAAAAATATTTTTAAGGTTTATATATAATAAAATTACTATACAAGTTGACACTACCAAAATGTAAGGGAAAAACCAATTGTGAAGAGTGTTACAATTTAAAACTCCTTAAGAAAATTATTTTCTGCACAACTGAATTCTTACACCTTACAAACATCTTTAGGTATGTTTAAAATTATTAACTCAAAGTCCTACTTTTTAATGAGTTTATACAAACAGGCAGCATTTCTTAAGTAAGGACTTACATATTATCTGGATGACTTTTAGAAGGTGACTGAGAATTTGACTGGTTGCATTCAAATTTCCCTTTTTGGTATATTCCTACTTCAAACAGCATATGAACTCTTCTATATATCTGTGTGATTCAAACTTCTGTAGACATTGTTTTAAATGTATGAATATGTGAGGAAAGGCATTTATTAAAACTAGTCAGTTAATCTTAGTACACAGAACTTTCTAGAAACCAAATGATCCTGCTCCTCTTTTTAAGATGTCTTTAAGACAAAATGTGAATAGTAAGGAGGCCACTGGTATATTCTGGTTAGTTAGCAAACTGTCTGATGCAATTCTACTAGTTATTTTAAAACAACAGTCCGTTTTTCTATGCTGAATTCAACCCTTTTTGCTGGTTCATTTGTGTAGGTAGAGTCCACACTGGATAAAGCATTGTTATTTACAAGTTTAAACAAAGGTCACTTCCCCTGTAAGCTAGCCATCAGCTACAGCTACTGGACAAAGCTGTTATTTTCACGCTCATCTCTTTTTTACCTCTTGATCTGGATACATAATATTGATTTACTCACCCTGAATGAATAGGGCTGGAAGAAAGAGCCACGTTGTCTAAGTTCTCAGTGCCCCAGCTGAGACGGTAAGAATTCCTTTCTGCCTCCTTGGCTAGAGTTGACACCTAAATACAAAGAACACTGGATTTAATAAAAATACTTTCCTTCAATTAAATAAAATATAGTGAACTCTAAAAAGCAGTTATCACAGGAAGGTGATATTACCATCTTTTCATGTAAAAATATAAGACCGAGCCATTTAAAATGTGTTTTATAATACATTCCCATTTAAATTATACTATCGACCTAAGACCACACTTGTGTAATTATCGTGGGAGAGAGTAGGTATTCACATCTACTTCTCTATATCCAACCAGCTGAAACTGATAAAATCACACCTAAGATTAAAATATTCCATAACAACCTCTAACAGTTTTCTGATAACAGATAACAATTTTAAATATAAGGTGTATTTTTACCTGTACCTTTCATTTTCTATCTTAAACGCACCCCATCTCACTTTTTCCTTTGAGATTTTTATAAAGACATTAATTTTTATACATAATCTCCACAGAGGAATTCAGTAGAGCTGAAGCAACAAGCTGTATATCACTTTAGAAAAGCCCTCAAACTCTTAGCCCAGCTCATCAACTGAATTAAGACGATTTCTTTTCGGATGGAAAAACTCTCTGGACATTTCCGGCAACAGGGAATGTCCGAAAGCTCTCCAGAAAGCTGAAATGACAAAGTAAAAAGTCACGTACCTGGTGGCTGGGGATGACAACTGTGTCATCAATCATGGCACTGTCCCTCAGGTAAGAGGCATGGCTCAGGGTGTGAGACCTGTCGGAACTGAAGGATCGGAGGCTGGTAGGTTGGCAGGAGGCCATGGTCATATACCAACAGCCGGAGCAGGGTTGGGAGGATGGAAGGATGAGCCGAGCAGGAGAGTGAAAAAAGAGCGCTATTAGCTAACAGTGCAACTTCCAGGGGGACATGAATCGCCACCGCGGGAGAAGGAAACACAGGTCTCTGTGTTGCCCTCCCTCTCTGTCCAACAACTAAATGAACACATCTTTTGACTGGTTCCTAGCACTCAATGGCAAGGGCACAAGGGAATCCAGAAGTTAAAATTTGATACTTCTAATCTGATTTATTTTCTCCCCAGAAATCTTTGAAACCAGCAAACTGCAGCTCACTTACTGCCAGGACAAGAGATTCACACAGGAAATTATGCCAAAAGAGACTGCTTCAATCTGTGGTAAATGTCAATCTCCCTGCAACTAAGCAAAATATTAAGGGGGGTGGGGGGGACAAGACCCGCCTCGTAAAGAACAGAAAGGAAGCACGGGTTTCATCTTCGCTCATTTTCCATTCTCTGCATGCCTCATTCTCCTCCTCTCCAACTGTGAATGACTGACCATGGGTGCATTCCCCTGGAAGGTACAGAGTGAAATGAACTGTGGCCAGATGCATGCTTCCTGCGGAAGTGCAGTTCCTCTTGTTTGTCTCTGGTGTCTCCAACAATGCTATTTCAAAGGGCAGCATTGTTCCCCTTTGCATGTCCTCTGTGTGGTGAGTGAGGCACCAAAGAGTGCTGGTTGCTGTGGCAATAAGATGCAAGAGCACAAGAAACCGTTTCTAAGCACCAACCCAGGACACAGACACATCTGTCAGCACAGAAACAACGGCCAGAGACACAGCCGGAAACGAGGTTTGGCTTCAACATGGGATTTAGGCCTTGGGAATTGATGCTTTATATATTTGAGAAGTCTGAATTTCCGAGTTCTGAATTATATATGCAAATGTGATGGGTAAAGCTTGACATTTGCATAAGTGCAATTCATTCCTTCCTAATCAATTTGTACGATCAAATGACAAATAGACTGATATCTCAAGCTGTATTTTATACACATTAGTTCAAGAATTAAATATCTGTATTCAAAATAGTAGCCCAAAGCCCACAGGGAAAAAGAGAGAGATGCAAGCTTTCACAATATTTATAAAAGCAAAGTTTCATTTACTTTCAGCTAGTAGGTATTTGGCCAGTGAAGCACTGTAGAATTATGGACTAAGTGTCAGGTTAGCATATTTCTTAGTAGAAACTATTTTCATTTTGCAAATAGACCTAATTTTGTGAGCCACATGCTGTCATTTTTTGAGGTGTCAATATAGCCAACTTCAATTATCCTTGAGGAAATCATCATTTGGTAGATAAATCATAGTAATTGAGGACCTTCTCCATCCTATTCTGCTGTAGTTTTTTTTTTTAATTTTTATATACTTATTATTTATTTGAGAGAGAGAGAGAGCATGAGATGGGGGAGGGTCAGAGGGAGAAGCAGACTCCCTGCTGAGCGAAGAGCCTGATGCGGGACTCGATCCAGGGACTCGGGGATCATGACCTGAGCAGAAGGCAGTTGCTTAACCAACTAAGCCACCCAGGCGCCCTCTGCTGTAGTTTTTATGCCCCCCAAATAGACCTGGAATATTAGAAGGTAGGTGACATGAATTAAAGGAGTTGACTGATCTTGTATAAATTTTTGTTTATAATAAAACGAAATCTAAATATAATTCAGTAATTCACTATTTTATGTTATATAGGTTCTCGAAGAAGACTGAGGCTCCGGACACAGCCAAGGCAGAGGCAGCCCAGACGCCTTAGTGAGCCCATCCGTAGGGGTTTTAGTCCTGGCAGCTGATATTGGGGCTGGTTTTACAGGTGTGCAGTTGGATTTTGATGGTGCACTTCATAAACAGGCTGCAGGCTGCTAGGATTAACTCTGGCCTAACCTTGAATCTCTATCTGTGGCTCTAGAATTCCAAGGTTCAAATTGTAACTTTATGCATGTAAAGGTACTAAACTGATATGCATGAACAATGCATAAGGAACAAGAGGTACTGAGGTACAGGACTAGACATGCCTGCGCACAGCGTAACTGCCACCACTGTAAAGGTCTAAACTTTGAAAGGAGGCAGCCAGGTCGCAATTGCCACCCTCAGGGAGAGACCAGAACTGGGTGGGTGTCTGTGTACTTAGGGATGAGGTATGAAAGAGCTCATTTGGCTGCAAGCACAGAGCCGCATTTTGCACTCAATATACCAGTAATAAAGGTGGATTTGTGATATCTATCTACCTGATACCCAGGTCTATCTCTCAACTGGTTTGAATCAGGTGGGGAAAAGGGGTATCGATGTTATTGTCTTTCCTAAAGCCCCAACAGACAAGAAATAGAGAGGGAGAAGAAAAAATAAGAAAGAGATAGAATTGACTTACAACCAAAAAGGAGATTAGGGTAGAGAGAGAAAAATATTAGGATATGGAGACAGAGAGTGAGAAAAGTTGGAGAGACAGAGGGAGGGAGGAAGAAGGAGTAAGTTGGAACTATGCCTAAATATCTCTACTTCTATGATTTTATTCTGATTTACTGTTTACTGCCTTCTAAAATGCTAATTGGATGCTTAATCAATGTTTATAGTTTCTAATTGCTCTTTTTTCTGATGTATAGAATTTATTTAAATAGAATATTCCAGCAGTAGAGAAATTCTAATGGAATAATGAAAAATCACAAACATCAGGAATAATTCAAGTTTCTGGATAAAAAATTGTCTACCCTGACTTAAAACATTACAAACAAGGTTAAATATTTTACAATCCAATACATTTCTTTTTCGGTAAGTCAGAGGTCATCCCGTTCAGTTAATAAATTTATAATAACACATATCAATAGGAGTATAAGTCTGTACTTGCTGTTCAATGAAGGGTTGTGCCAAAAGTTATGTTACGGTCTTAAATTTTACTTCTTTGCACTATAGTAAACTACTCTGTGGACACATAATAGGTAGTCTGTAATTTCATTGAAAAATGTAATAATCAGTATCTTAGTAAGCTGTAGGAGTAGATGTTCAGTTAATGAAGTTTTTGAACCCTGTTAAACTAGTGAATATCCAAAAATTTCAATGCGTTTGCTTTATTGCATGGAAAAGCTTCTGTGGCTCATTGATACCTTGTGTTTTACATTTAATTTGTAAGCAATAATAAAATAAAATGGACACAAAATCTAACTAATAAGAACTTGGATATGTTTTTATCCATGTACATTAAATTGTGCCTATTTGTGTTCTCCTGCATCCATGTACATTTTAGGCATCAGAATGGTTTTTCTACCATTTCCAACTATACACAGACTGATGAGGTTCCTTTGGGGAAACCATGCTAATGTTTTATCAACCACAAGGCGGAGCTGTGACAGTTAAACAAAGTCATGCTGGGGCATGTCTTCGACTTGTATTCTAGTAATATATTCACCCTTCTAGCTCAAACAGTTACTCAATTCAATACATAAAAATCCTAATTTGAGAATAAATCCATAATTCTAGAATATAAGCACCTCCTGCCAGCACACACACACACTACACACATTGCACAGAAAGCAGGGAAATGTGAATGTCTCCAGGAAGTTTCACAGTGTTTTCATGCTATTTAATACCTACCTGGGCATGGTACTATTGAAAGCATACCAAATAAATAACGAAAAGTAAAAATGGTTACCAAAAAAAGAAAACTCCCTTTGAATTACATAAACAAGAAATCCATGAACATGAGATGTTGCCTGTAATTCCATGTTGGAGATCATGAATACAATCTGGGGTTCTCAAAATGCTAGTGTGGACCTGGAGAACAGACCATGGTTTGTTTGTTTCATATCCTCATCTTTACGTGCTGATAAGTGTTCAGTTTAAGTAGAATCATCATACCGTGAACCCGTTTAATAGAAAGCATTGTTCTAAAGTTTCCTTAACCTAGTACTTTCAAAGAAGGAAAAAGGATCAGATCAAGAACTTGATAAAATAGACCATGTTGAAAATGAAGGTTTTTTTCTCTGACAGTGATATGATTATTTATAGGTTATTATGAATTTGTGCAAAGCCATAAATTTCATTTTATTGAAATCTGAAATCTTCCTAAGAATTTCAGATTGTGATGTCCAAATCTATCTGTATGTCAGAATCCACTATATAAAACCCTGGTCCCATCACCAGTACCCCCACTCTCACCCCGAGTGGCTCTTCCTTCTCTTGACCCCAAGGACCACCCTCCATCTATGTCATCAAAGCCAAAGGGTCAATCTAACCATCTTCCTTTTCACCCACCCCATGAAATCCATCACCAGATCTGGCTGCTTTTACCTCATAGATATGCTCTCAAATTTGTCATTTCCCAAATTCTCTCCGTGATTGCTACCACCAAGGTTAAAGGTCAAGTCTTCTCTTAACAGCTTCAGCTAATATTTCTACAACAATTTTTCAGATGTTTGCAACTGCCAGGTTTGGCCCTTTGACAGCTCTCCTCTAAAATTCATCGTTTAAGTTTACAGTCAGAGGGATCCATCCAAAATGCGGACAAGATCTCCCCTCCTTCACACTAATACTCTACCAATATTGCACTATTCTTTCTCTCATACACAATGAGCCTTTGCTCATGATCTCATTAAGGCTTCAAATGCCCTCCCTACCTTTCCTCACCATCATTACCCATCACTGTATCTCAGTTTGGCCTCATCTCCTCCAGGAAGCCTGAGCCCCGGGGCTTTAGTTGTACTCTGTGGGTACCACTAGCCTAGTTTCTCTCACATCCCATCAGACTATAATTTTAACAATCATGTCCTGGTCACATTTGTATCTCTAGCACCCACCACAAAGCCAGCCCAGAAAGGCACTTATTACATGCACACTGAATTGTTCAAAAGAAAAAAGAAAAAAAGTAGGGAAGAAGCACTGATGCTCAAGGAAAAACCCCAAGAAAAATCTGTTTTTGCTAATTATCCATTTAGAATTAACTACGCTTTAAAGTATTTATTTCTTAGACTGTGAATGTGTTAACTACAGCTTAGGATACAGCAAGACTAAAACTATAAACCTAAGATTATTGATTAGTGAAAAACATTACACTATATGGACCACCATATGTTAACCAAAATTGGCAGTCAATCCTTTGATGAGGTACCATGGGATGTTCTTATTCAGCTTGCCTCAAAAAATAACAAACACCAGTTGTGCTAGTTAGTAATAATCAGAAAATAACATTGATTTTATACTTCAGAATATGACATAAACCTCTTCAGATTTGTCTATAAAGCCTGTGCTCCTTCAGATTTTGCTCAGACTGCTTTTGTATTCAAGATCTTGGAGGATTTCGGTCTAATTCTTTTTCATGAAAAAGTCAGTTTCAGGCAGTTTCCTCCTGAATTTGTTTCTTTTTCATCCTTCTTCACAACATACTTTTATTCACAGAATTTATGCCAGTAACAAAAATACCCATAAGGTAAAACAGTCCTTTTTAATTGCCTAAAGAAAAAAGTGGTAAATGATTACAAACACTATACTGAAATGTAGAGAGCTCTTTACTTATCATTGCTCTGCTTCTTACTAGTTGTTTGACTTTCATTAAGTTACTTAATCTCTCTGGGCCTCAGTTTCCTATTCTTTAAAACGGGCACTTAAAGTTGCTCGAGGATGCAGTTAAGATACAACACGCTGAGAGTAGGGCAGTACCTACTAACTATCAATAATTATGTCTACTTTTTTTAATTATCATCATGAAAAAGTGTTGCATTGCCTTCTGGCTGATACCAAGTGTCAGCTTTAGGTGAATACCTGTCGGAGCGTGCTCCCTCCAAGCTGTATCGCAGGTAATTCATACCATCCAGGAACTGACTGCTGGGTAGCGAGTCATCACCCAGTTCTTTCAGATCCTCGGGCCTAAGATATTCTCCCCCATCGCCTGTCATCGTGTCATCACCTTGAAGCAATCAGAGGAAGATGGAGGAAGAATTATTTGTTGAATGTCATATTAACTACAAAATAGGATGATGATCATGAAAAAACATCAGAATAGCATGGACATCACTGGAACACCGCACACCCGAAGAAAACAGAACAATGCAACCACAAAGTGCTAAAACTTAGAGAAACAATATTTGACCCATTTTCCCATTGCTTACCAAGAAGAAAGAATTGCCTGAATTGTAATACTCTTAATATCAATTTTCTTTACTCATTTTTTTTTTTACCATAGCTGGTTTATGGCTTGTACTATTTAACATAGTCCACTATGCAGACCACTCAACTTCTAGACATAGTTCCAATAATTTTGTACATAATGTCTGGCATTAACAGTCTCTTCGTGTCACTGGCAATATGCTAAGAAATACCTACTGCTCCAGGCACCTGGGTGGCTCAGTTTGTTAAGCGTCTGCTTTCAGATCAGGTCACAATCCCAGGGTCTTGGGATGGAGCCCCGCATCGGGCTCCTTGCTCAGTGGGGAGTCTGCTTCTCCTTCTCCCACTCCCCCACCATCCTGGCTCGTGCTCTCTCTCACTATCTCTATCTCAAACAAATAAATAAAACCTTAACAAAAAATAGAAAGAAATATCTACTGCTCTAAAATATGTGATATAATATGTGGAGGGATATGATTTATAAGATTAACAAGATACGCACATTAGGGAAAGAATACTAGAACAAAGTGAGCAGATTGTGACATTTTAATAAACAACCTGGAATTTAATTTTAAAAACATTACAGAGCATAAAAAGGATGTTTTGTTGGAAACTAGGTGGCTTCCCAAAGGTGAACGACAGGGAAAATAGAGAATTAAGTAATCAAGTAGTGGCAGAAAGAGATGACTAAGTGTGGTAGCTCATATTTAGAAGATCAAATGGTAAGAGTACATTCCCTGCCTGTGACTAGGAAGAGAATGCTTTCAAAAATATCTTTTCCAGGTGAGTCAATAAGTAATACCTCATTCACAGAAGTGCTCTGTATGCCATTAATATGCTGACATGGAGAAATAAATAATATAGCTGAGAGAAACTATTTTTGATGACTCCTTAAGACACTAATCACACACTTTAAGCCTGATGATCTATGTAAAGGACAATTTGAAGGAATGTACTTCATTCCTATAAACTAAGTTAAATATTCATTATTCTATACTCATTTGTTTCAAATAATTGTTCTAAATCAGCACTAATTTATAAAGGTACAGCATTAAAGAATTGTAAGAAAGATATATGTCTTTGACATTTCACTGTTTGTATATATGATCTTAAGATCTCAGGTATACATAAAAGGATTATTAGCTCTTTAAATTACTTAAAACTAATGACAGATTAAAAAAAAAGACCTTCCAGTAAATGGAGATATAATTTATTAACCATTAGATTTTTGTCTCAAAGTGAATGCATTTAACATTTGACAGTTATAATAAGTCTCATCATTAAAAATATTTTCATGGCTCCTTCAGTGACACCACTAGATCTTTATTGAGTTTTAGCATAATGAGGTAGGCTACACAGAGTATTAATTAAAAGTTGAGTCTTTAGAATCAGATAGACCTGGATTCAAATTTTAATTGTTATTTACTGACCTGTTAATCTTCCAGAGCCTCAATTTCCACAACTAGTAAATGGGAATGATACTAATCTATCTCACACAGTAGTTGAATGAATAACATATAAGAATGTGTAATCAAGTGCCAGAATATACTAATTGCTACCTATTGTTTTTATTAATACAAAATGGTGAAAGTGTGACACATCAATGAAATATGAGCTCAATTTCATTTACGCAAAAATATTTTTATTTATTTTTTTTAAAGATTTTATTTATTTATTTATTTGAGAGAGAGCTAACACGAGCTGCGGGAGAGAGAGAGGGAGAAGCAGACTCCCTGCTGAGCAGGGAGCCTGACGTGGGGCTCAATCCCAGGACTCTGGGATCATGACCTGAGCCGAAGGCAGACGCTTAACTGACTGAGCCACCCAGGTGCCCCTACAAAAATATTTTTAAATATATATATCATAAAGAAAGAAATATAATTGTACTGTGTTTAAATATTCGTAAATCTGATAGCTCTAAGAAAAACATGAATAAAGTTTTTAAAATTATGGTTGTTAAAGGGGTCTCCTGCCCACCCTTACATATATTTTCTTCTTTAAAGTGAAAAGGGGCACCTGGGTGAAGGTTAAGTGTCTGCTTTCAGCTCAGGTCATGATCCCGGGGTCCTGGGATTGAGTCCCACATCTCAGGCTCCCTGCTCAGCAGGGAACCTGCTTCTCCCTCTCTCTCTGCCTTTCTCCTGCCTTGTGCTCTCTCTTTCGCTCTTTCAAATGAATAAATAAAATCTTAAAAAAAAATTTAAAAAAAACAAAAAAGTGTTCCCTCACAAAGTAAGATGTGACAATAACAGCAATCTATAGATAACACTACAAACACAAAATGCGTGATGTTGGTCAACTTTAAGAACCAAAAAGGTAAGAGGACAGATCACTTTAGGATGGTGTGGTGGGTTCAGTAGCATCCCCCCAAAATTTCACTTCCATTTGGAATCTGAGGATAGGGCCTTTTTTGGAGATAGGGCTTTTATAGATGTAACTAAGTTAAGGACTGAGATGAGATCACATTGGATAACTCCAATCAGAGTGTTCTTAGAGACACAGAGGAAAATGCCACATGAAGGCAGAGATTGGAGTGATGTGTCTACAAGCCAAGGAACAAACACCAAGGATCGCTGACAGCCACTGGAAGCTGGAAGAGACAAGAAAGACTCTTCCTTAGAGTATCAGAAGTTAGTATGGTGCCACCATAAATTTTTCACTCCCAGAACTGTGAGAGAATAAATTTGAGCCACCAAGTTTGTGGTAATTTCTTGTGATATTCCTAGGAAATTCAGTGAAGCTGGAGAAGGAGTCACCGAAGAAGGAATTGGAGCTGATCATTTGTTTGGATTCAGTTTTTTTTTTTAATAATTTTTTTATTGTTAACCACCATACATTACATCATTAGTTTTTGATGCAGTGTTCCATGATTCATTGTTTGTGCATAACACCCAGTGCTCCACACAGAATGTGCCCTCTTTAATACCCATCACCAGGCTAACCCATCCCCCGACCCCCCTCCCCTCTAGAACCCTCAGTTTGTTTTTCAGAGTCCATCGTCTCTAATGGTTCGTCTCCCCCTCCGATGGGCAGAGGCTGACACTACTTTAGGTGAGAGGCTCGTGTGTAAGGGGTCATGGAAGGCAATAAAAACAGTGAGAATAAAAGAGTAATACGCGTTACTTATTTAGAGAATACTACCTGAAGTAACTTGGCAAAAGTAAACGTTCATGATGGTGAGCAATGGCAAAAAGTCCAGGAAGAAAGTTAGTGTCTAAACAGTGATCAAATCAAGGCCAGACATCTTATTATAAGCCTTGTAGGACTTAATTGTTTCTACTACTTCCCTCCTCTTATGTAATTAGTAAATCTTTACATAGGAGTATTTTTATGAGTCAAATAAGTTGGGGTACCCCTTTGTTTATTTCTGGGAGAAAAAAATTCTAAGATCAATTCTACGAATTAGTTTACCAAAACACAGGCATTGTCTGGTTTGGATATAAGCCTAAATTATTTCCAGAAAAAAAATATGTGAACTTGTTAACATTTGGGAAGACTAACTCTACTCTTATTTATGAAAAAGTGGAAGAAATAGTTGGATGAAGTATCTGTTGTGTTATACAAGGAGGAAGTGAGGAGCCCCACTGTCAAGAGTTCACAGCCAAAGTGTGACAAAAGGAGATAAAAGATGGTTCCTCTACATTTCATCGTAACTAACTCAGCCAGTCTGGAGTTCTCTTGATTATCATTAGTACACATCATTCCAGAGAAGCAGTGGAGAAGTTTGTACAAACCATCCATGCACAAACCTTTGAGTATGTGGGACACATGGGTCACATTTCTACAGGTATTTTAGTTACATAAGTGTTACCACCCCTGAGCCCCACCATATAACTTACTGCTGTGGAGCTGAGTCAGCAAAGGTAGGGATCGGCTCATGATCCTATGAAGATGTAGAGGATTACATTTACAGCTGTGTTTTCGTCCGCACGGTACAATACTCTCAGATTGAATTCCCATTTCTATCTTTTCCTTCCATTTCTCTGCCATGTTGTTCCATCAGGACTTATAGTATGACTGAGCTATTAAACAGCTTTCATACTGGGTTTACCTTCCGCATCTACCACTTAATGGCTGTGTACTGTGGAGCAAACTACTTAATGTGTTTAAGTCTTAGTCTCCTCCTGTTCAGGTGAGCCTTTCCTCACCTGAAAAAAAGAGGGGAAATCAATAGCCTAGCTCATGCGGATGCTATGGGGATTAAATGAGACAATGCACCTAGCATTGTAGATGTTTAGTAAATGTTTTCTCCTCTGTCAAATATCTGAGCTTCCTTCCAATTTCTTCCTAATACACTCCTTTAGTGTATCACTGCTGGTTTAATCTTTGTGAAAATCAGATTTGTTTCAATCATTAATCAAAATGTTTAATATATCCTAATTTCCCAGACTTTTCAGTTAAGAATTCAAACATTCACAGTGAAGCCCAGTATGTTTTAATGCATGAGCCAAATCGAATGACCGGATCATTTTGCCACTCTGTGTCTCTCTCTTATGCTTTCCCCTCTAGGACCATCCATACTGTTCCTTCCCCACTCTCTAAAACCTGTGTCACCTTCCTATTAATCTCTCAGTTTCGGCAAGTCCATGGGACTGTGCTAGGTCTCTCCTTCTCCAGCTCCCAAGGCAGATATGAAAAGTGGATGACATAGTGCCTTCTGTTATACTTCACTTAACTTCTACATTATCTCCCCATCTATAAAAAAAAAAACAACAAACACAGGCATGCCCTGTGTTCACCTCTGATGCCCCAATGGTAGCAGCGATAGAACTTTACACACAGTAGTAACATCACTTTTACTATCTGTTGATTGGATTCATGAGCGGATGTCCTGATTACTATATCAAGTTAGCCTGAAAGGACATCTATACCGGGCTTGAATATTCTTTTGAGTATTGATAATACACACAACTATCAAAACAGAAGAGCTGTTAAAAAGAAAAAAAAAAAGGCAAGAATTGGCTAACACCTTTAAAATACATGTGGCTGCACTTTGTCCATGTGAATGGTAGGTTCCATGAAAACATTTTAAGCCCATAAAACATTAAAGGGTTGGCAATATCAACCAGCCAAATTTCTTTATACTAATTCTTAGCACTAAAAGTCACTTCACAATACTCAAATATATCGTATACATAAAAATTTTTCAACTTGAATTTCTTTCTGGGGAAAAATGTGTTACTAAGCTTTTGGCTAGGTCTAAAGGAAGGAAAGCTTCTTCTCTCACCATAGGAGATATTCTTGATCATTAGCCAGTATTCCTCTCAAAGCAAGACCTTTTATCACTAAAAACTCTGAATCTATAACAGTTTTAATAAAAGTATACAGGATATTATAGCTAGATCTTATATTAGGCAATGAGCAGGTCCAAAAAGCTGTTTTATATAAATGGAATTTCTTTAATCCCACTCAATACTTTGAATGCACTGGCAATGGAATTATTTAACAATTATTTAGGAAATAAACTACTTTTAAATTAAATAATCACTCTGATTTATAAATTTAGATTTTCATGTAAGAAGTTTGCTTCAAGTGATACCACATACACTTTGGATCCTTGGTAGATAAAATATTTTATATTATTCATTTTTCCCTATATGCTGAAGCTCCTCCTAAATAATTTTAAGGGTTATTTTTATTCCTAGCTACCTTCAAAAATCACATTATAACATATCAATTTCACATATTTTTTAACCACATCTAAAACTTATCTTCAGCCAAGAATGATATGAAGTACATTCAGTCAAGCAGTCTTAGTTTTAACAGGTTCATGGTAGTTAAGTGTCAACTTACAAAGAATTATTTTTTTCTCTGTGTATTCTTAGAAGAGAGATTAGTTTTGGTAAAATATTTACATGATGCTCATTAGATAATTTAATGATACTAATAGGTCTCAACAACAGCAGCAAAATCATTAATAGGATAAGCAATTTATGGCTTTAAGCTTCCAAGTTAATAAAATCTACACACTCACATGCATACAAATACAACTCCATGCTATTTCAAAAGAAACAGATTAGTAGTAGGCACCCAGATTTAAATATTAAGCAAGTTGCTTCTATCCAGTTAAGAAAAATTAAAAGCAAAGCTTTCACTCCAATAACTTCCTCTAAAGGTACCTGAATCACTAAGCGCTTCCCCATCAATAAAGTTGTCACCAAACTGTTTAAAGGCTGTTAAGAAAGATGATCCCACAAAACAAAACATGATGTGCATATATGAATGCTAAAATTAGCTGGCAAGTATTAGGATGGAACACAAAATTATTATAATACTTGGAAATGCTAACTTTGGCAATTATTAATTTACTTATAATAACGCACTGACCAAACATTTGCTCGTTCTTGTCATAAGTTCTTACAAAAGCTGAGATAACTCAGTGCCTATTACCAATCGGTGAACAAACTAGTTCCAAATAATGACACCTCAATGTAAAGTTTCACCTTCTGATTACATCTTGAAGAACCTAAAAATCTACTTTTACTATTTCTCAATAAAAGCAATTATTATTAAGAACAGTACTGTTCTTTTCAACCTGACTAGTTTTTTAGTTCTTTTATCTCTGCAGTGAGGTACTCCCTAGTGTCTTCTATGCTTTTCTCAAGCCCAGCTAGTCTCCTTCTGATTGTTCTTTTAAATTCTGGTTCAGGTGTATTACTTATATCTGGTTTAATTAGATCCCTGGCCGTGCCCTCTTCTTGTTCTTTCTTTTGAGATGAGTCCCTCCATCTTGGCATTTTGTCTAGATCTCTGTCTTGTGTGTATTAGGAAAGCCTGTTAGGTTTCCTGCTCCTGAGAGTAATGCTGTATTAAGAAGAGCTCATAGAGGGCGCCTGGGTGGCTCAGTCGTTAAGCGACTGCCTTCGGCTCAGGTCATGATCCCAGGGTCCCATGATCAAGTCCTGTATTGGGCTCCCTGCTCAGCAGGAAGCCTGCTTCTCCCTCTCCCTCTGCTGCTCCCCCTGCCTGTGCTCTCTTACTCTCTCTCTCTCTGACAAATGAAATTAAGAAAAAAAAAATCTTTTAAAAAAAAAAAAGAAGAAGAAGAGGTCATACACTGTCCAGGGCCTGGTGCTTCAGAAAGTGTCTCTGGTGTGTGCTGTGTGCACTCTGCTGTTGGGTTTTGGCTGCTCTTTCCCTCAGATTAGTCTCGGCAGAGTTTCTCTTTGCCTGCAGTGGGTAGTGTTTGGGACCTTCTCCAGTGTGTGGCAAGTTTTAACTAGTACTATTCTTTATGGCAATAATTTTTCAAACATATGCATTTGACCAAAAGCTGTACTATTGAAATTTGGCTACATACCTCATTTGCTGCATTCATGATTTTTTGGCAGATTTTTTTGTTCAAGAAAAGTCAACTACTCTAACTGAAGTAGAGATAAGGAGCCAGAAACCCTCGTGGAGGGGCAGACCTGCAGCACAATGCTCTATCCCCACCCCAGGCAGTCCCTTGTACTCCTTTTAGAGCAACAGGCTTCTCAACGTTTGAAAGTCACTACCTTAGATAATTTTTATCAACTCTAAAACTATACAGAGCATATTTTATGACTTAAAGAATCAAATGCTTACGTTGAATTAGTATGACTTACATGCTATTTCTAACCTTATCTAAGCCTCCTCTCCTCTGGACTTACGATTTATTCTGATCATTTGAACCAATCAGAAACAGAGATTTCTCAATATACCATTGAGAGAATATACTTCAAAGTCTTTCACTTTAAGGCATTTTAATTTAAAAAAGTATGTTAACATAATTAAAACACATATTAATAATAATTGTATTATCAGGTAGGTGTTTTTAACAGATGGCCAATTTCCAGTGTCTTTCCCCTTTTCCAGTTCTGTTATTTAGTAAGACATTAAAGATAATACCCATTGAAAATAGACAAATCACTATCCTCTTTCCCCAAAGAACAAAAGTAGGTGTTTTGAAACAGAGGTGAAAAAGTGACTTTTAATGTTAAGAGGCTGTCACCCACACCCCCTGTACCAGCTTTGTCCCTGAGGAAAAGGACGCCTTGTCTTTGTGTAAGACAATGAAGACCAAATAAAAATCTTACCTTCTTCATCAGAAACATCAAGAACCTCAGTCATCGTCTCAGGAACATTTAGCTTGTGTTTTTCAGTGATAGTCTGGAAAGAAAAAAAATCATTAATACGCAAGTTAAAATCAAACAAAAGAGAAAAGAATCACAGAGGAGGTCATGTGGATAGCATCAGCAAGCCATCAGTCCCTGATCATTTCATCTTCCTACATGTATGTTCTGGAAGCTTATTCTGTTCCGTGAAAATTCATTTGTTCTTTCTGAAGATAAATGATCATTGACTCCAGTGAAGTTGTACAAGAAGAAGTTCATTATTTGAGTTCCTTTTTGAAAAATAAATTCTTTAACGATGGCATTAATAATTAGTCATATTGAGAAAGCAGACGAATGTTTCCAGGGCTTCCCTAAAATGAACTAAGTAATGTCTCCAGAAAAGCTTTAAAAAGAAACAATGAACATATGTAATTTATTAAAAACAAAGCCATTGGAAAAGAAGTTGTAAACAATGTGAAAGACAAATTATTGGGGCAGAAAACATGATGCATCTCTTCTGGGATCAGAGGATCAAGGGCAGAGAGTCAATCATCCTTTCAGTATTTCGTTGGTCTACAATTCTGGTTTGTTGCTTATTCGCCTTCCACAAAGGCACTCCAGAGTTGCCAAGTCCACTGCCTTCCATTCCTGATGGGCAATGTAAGGTTAAGAGACCAGATTCTGGAGAATGGCTGCCTGGGTTCGAATTCTAACTTTGTCATTTCTTAACAAGTTCCTTACTTCTCTGGGTCTCAATTTTCTCATCTATAAAACAGGGATAATACTACTACTTCATAAAATTGTTATGAAGATTAAATGAAATAATATACATAAGAGCTCTAAGAACAGTGCTTGGAATATGTTAGCACTCAGTAAATATCAGCTAGTGTAACATCATTATTATAATTGTAATTCAATGTTAAATTCATCTTAAAACTGAAGAGCCTCTGAACTTTTTAGTCATTCAGGCACTCAAGAAACATTTTGAGCACCTACCACAAGCTGGCACTGTTTTAGACAACCAGGGATACCACAGTGATTTAAAACAAACAAACAAACAAAAAACAAAAAACAAATCACACTACTTTAAATATCACTGTCAAGTCTCAAACTCATATCTCTAGTGTCTGCACTGAAAATGTAGCAAGTGCACAGAGTGGCATCATTATGGGAACTCTAAAAACCTCATCTCTCAAAATAAGTCAAATCTTCAAATAAAGTCACTAAAATATTGGGGTAAACAGTTGTCTTAGGTTTTTTAAGCTTTGCTACATGGATACTACGGACTTTTTTGAATGGCACCAACTTCTTTTCTTTCCAAAAGCAGTAGAGAACTTCAAATAGATTTACGAGGAAATTCAACTACTTTGAAAATATATTCACATCTACCTGTATAATATCTGTGTGTCAAGAGGCACTGATGAAATCATAATGTGACACCACATGCCCTTTCAGTGGCTCCCCATTTCCTCAGAAAACAAGCCAGACAAAGTGGCTCAGAAGAGCTGGGTGATGTAGTAAGGAGAGGCACGGAGGCCTCCCCCCCGCCCCCTCTCCATGCTCCAGCCGTGTTCCCAGGTCACGTCCTCTTACATCTCTAAGTTTTTCCATATATTCTCTCCTTTACCAGAAATATTCTTCTACCTCTTTTCTTGGCTCATAGTAGATGTAATTTTCTTGGAGAGACATTCCCCAATCCTCCCTGATGAGTCTGTTTCACTGTGATTATCTGGCGACACGGGACACACCACACCATACACGTCTGTGCCTTATCTGCTCCCACATGAGAGAGTGAGTCATTGAAGAGTCAGTTTGTTTCCACAGAACCTGAAACCTAGCAGGTGCTTCTCAAACATATATCGAATACATCAATGATACAAAATTAGGCAAACTGTACGTAAAATCCACATAACAACTAAACAGATTTTCTTTGGGGTGATAAAACAGTTAAAGAATGGGAAGAACCCGAGAAAGTAAGGAAAGTCTCATGTTATCCCGACGAAGGCACAGTTGGAGATTAAAGTATTGAATTCAGCTTTCCTGCATGTTGCTTATGATGTTTAAATAATTCTGTAATGTCTTATTCACTGAAAACTAAACTTTAGGAAAGACAAAAGCATCCATTAAAAATTCTGCATAATAATAGCTGGTCAATAAGTATATCTTAAGAAGACTATTATATCACTTATTTTATTTTTAAAGATTTATTTATTTATTTGAAAGAGAAAGACAGCATGAGCAGGAGGGGCAGAGGGAGAGAGAATCTGAAGCAGACTCCTCACCGAGCGCAGAGCTGGATGCGGGGCTCAATCTCACAACCCTGAGATCATGGCCTGATGCAAAACCAAGTCCGATGCTTAACAGACTGCACCACCCAGGCGCCCCCTCATTTACTTATCTTAATAATTAATTCATAAATTTAACATGGATAAATTAAAACCTGTATTCTATATCCATGGTTTTCACCTCTAGCTGCATATTAAAATTATTAGAGAAAATTTTAAAATACCATCACTTGGGTACCATCACAGAACACTTAAGTCAGAATCCCTGAGGGCTCAGCTATGAAAAAGTTGCTCAGATGGATCTATCAGGCAGCTCAAATCACAACCCATTTGGAAAAGTGTATAAATTGCAGAAAGTGATTTGCATTTAAAATATAGGAAAGACAGTGACATCTTATTAAGCTAATGATAACCTATCAAGCTTTTTCTGAAACTTTTTTTTATAAGATTCTCAGTGTAAATAAAATGATTCAAACATGTGAAGGGATATCTACCATATTAGACTACACCAGAAAGTTTATTTTACGGAGATGTTCTAGAGTATTTGCCCTTTTTAGGAAACATTCCACAAGAGGATGCTTCTCTATTTGAAAATAAGTGATGGAAATATTTTTTAAATAAGTTCTATTGCCTGATGTACTTAATTTATATTTTCAGACACTGATAATAGGACTATATTTTCTTTGAATTTCTAAGAGTGGACTGGAATTTCTAAGAGTGGAAATACCATTGCTTTAGCTTGGTCACTGAATACTACCAAAGTTATTACCAGCAAATATATGTGGCAACAGAAAAAGTACCACACAGTGATCACACTGGTCACAGATATTTTTCTGTTATAGATCATAAAAATGCCCTCTATATGCAATGTAGTGAGTATGCATTTGTTCAGGATGTAGCACTGACCTTTAGAAGACCATCAATAAATATTTGTTGAATGGATGATAAATAAGTCTTCCTACTCATGAGTAATGTTATAAGAGATATATATTTTCCTTTAAAATGGAGTGAACTGTGAAAACTTGATTATCAAAATATAAATATGGTTTTATACAAATGCATCTGAATAGTGCATAGAAAACAAAGATATAATTAAATGATCATGGGCAACTCCATCTGCTATAGAACCTAAGAGTCTATATTCAAGATTAGAAACCACTTCAAAGTTAAAATGGGTAGTGTACTATGCACAAATTTAATAGTATGTAATTAAATCAGATAATACGGCAATATAAATAGGATAGGATAGATGGAAGCCTTAATAATGAGTTTTTAATATTTATCATGATGTGGAAAAGATGTAAAAACTAAAACATGAGTCCTTAACATGCTGTTTGTAAATAGATAATATCTGGTTTGTTTTACGCAAAAGAAAGAGTGTGCGTAGCTGGCCTCCACTTGGCCCGCACCCCTCGTCAACTATTTCCTTTGTATCACATACTCACCAAATCACCCCAGCATGATGAGTGATCTTGGCTAATATGCCACCTTCTAATGCCCACACACAATGGCTCCCATCAGTGGGGCAACAGGCTAAATTTGGTTTTGTTCCCAAATGTATTTATACCAATTGTACATGTTAATAGAATGTCTATAATAATTTAAATAGTATGTAAATATTTTTCTACAAAAACTAATGTAAATGGTTTGGAAATCTCAACAAAGGTGAGTCGCCAAAACTAATTTGTACTCAATTAGGTGTAGTTGAGACAATTAAAGCAGATGAGGAAAAAAAAAGTATGTCAAAAGTTTTGACACTCAGTATAATGTCACTTTAAGATAATATACAGGATGAATACGGGGTGCCTGAGTGGCTCAGTCTGTTGTGTCCAACTCTTGATTTTGGCTCAGGTCATGATCTCAGGGTCCTGAGATCCAGCTTTGTGTCAGGTTCCAGGCTCAGCAGGGAGTCTGCTTGAGATTCTCTCTCTCTCCCTCTGCCCCCCCATCCCCGTGCATGCTCTCTAAAAAATAATAAATAAATCTTTAAAATATATATGTATATACAGGATGAATACCATCAAGATATAGGTATTATAGGTTATAGTATGTAATATTGATGTTCTTTGTGCAAGAATGATCATTTAGCCTCCTTCTAGTCAATGGACCTATATTCAAAGAAAAGATCTTGACTCCACCTCAAGAGGTGTCCGATGACTTCAGGTGGATTTACTGCATTGCTATTTCTATGATTCCCACTTTAACTGACTTAGAGCCTCAAATAAAATTTAGGACTTTGAATATTTATATTAACTGTCAAAAATTTCCCCTCTTTAAATGGTATAAAATGTCATTTTATTTTAGTAGTTTATTCAGCAATTTATGATGTCATTTTTATTTTAGTAATTTTGGGTCTACATATCAATGATTATATGCAACTTAAACCATGATCATTTTAAAATTATGCAAATAATACAAATACTTGATGACAGCTGATTAATAAGTAGAGGGGTGAGTCCTATCTCGGTCTTCCAAACTGCCTTAGGCAATTGAGCTTGGTGGCTTCTGCTGCCAGAAATGCGTCCCCCGCACTCTGATGCCCATTCCAGCAAACACGCAATGACTGTAATCCTGGGATAATGCTAAACTGCTTCATATCCCCTGCTGGGTTCCCCAAAGTTAGAAAAGCAAAGGTTAAGGAAACAAACCACAATTCCAAAATGTCTCAAAAATTTCTGAAGCAGTGGTTTCTCCTTTACAGACTGATGCTTTCCTCTTCTCCCTACACAATGACTTTATTCATATTTTGGGGTAAAGAACTTCGGAAGGAGGATTAGCCCAGGAAACTTTCTTTGACGGAAGAGAACTCACATGGCTGCTCAGAGGCACATCATACAAATCCAATGATGTGAGATTTGTATGTTAGTTGTGTAACCGTAATTACACTTAAATGGTAATAACATCAAACTAAATTTAATTTTATTGATTTTACATAATTATTTAATTATAGTGTGCTATATTGGCCCATCACCAGTGAGCAATTCCAAATTCACTTTAGAAAATAATATTGAATATGATGCCTCCATGGAAATCAACCAAAAGCACTATTTGGGTAGGTTGTTTTTAATAGAAAACTAGGTGAAAACACCTCTTTCACAAAATTCATGTTAAGCTACATTTAGTGGGTGCCTGGGTGGCTCAGTTGTTAAGCATCTGCCTTTGGCTCAGGTCATGATCCCAGGATCCTGGGATCAAGCCCCGCATTGGGCTCCCCGCTCGGCCAGAGGCCTGCTTCTCCCTCTCCCACTCCCCCTGTTTGTGTTCCTGCCCTCGATATCTCTGTCTCCGTCAAAAAAAAAAAAAAAAATCTTAAAAAAAAAAAAGCTACATTTAGTAACGCCAAGATCAGTAATGTCAGAGTGGTTAAGAACATGGACTTTAGAATCTGACAACCTAAATTTGAATCCTAGATCTAGCCTCAATGCCTGCCATATCTGTAATCACTAAATATTCATTTTTAATACCATTAATATCATTATGTGAAAAAGAAGTATGAATGAAAATCTCTTCCCAAAGAGAGGAAGTGCAAAGTAAGAAGCCTCACATAAGAGACAGGAATAAGTTCATATTTTCAATACTTCACCCCAAATTCAATTTCACAAAACAATAAAACTCAATTCTAAGAATCAATTCTAAGAGTCAGAAAGTAAAAATAGGGTGGTATCAAAACATGTTACCAATACAATTACCCATTTAGACAAAGGGGGTACTTGTTTAGTTAATGTGGACAATGACTTCTTACCCTAACTAAAAGCAAACATGCCATTATGTTTTTATTTGTCAGCTTTTTACCTAGAAACTTGATTTCTAAGTATAGTGGTTTTTATTGGGGAAATGCTCAGCTGGGCAGGGCGGAGAATAATAGCAGAACAGAAGAAAAGCTCACAGGGAGCTCTAAAAGTAGTTTTTGTATTCCACTAAAACTAGATGTGGCAGAGATATGACTCCACGTCTAATTTCTGAAAGGTATCTGAACTTGTTTAGTCATAGTATTTAGCAAGCTAATTGCTTCTCTTTTCAAATATAGATCTATATAGTTAAAGTCATTCACTCTAAGTAATATTTATGAGCCTGGGATCTCTTTGAAACTGAACATGTAAGTTCCGTAGTTTTGTTGATGTTAAAGAATTTATTTTCTTACAAAATGCAAGTCTCCTTCTCCACTCCCATTAAACTCTAAGCTGCGGGGGGGGGGGGGGGGTAATGTTTTCACCACTGTTGACTCTTCAGCCCTCAGCATAGAGCTCAGAGCATATTTTATATACAATAAATATTGAAGGAATGAATTAATGAAATGAATGGAAGAAAAGCAGGTCAAGTAGCAAAAAAAATGCAAGCTTGCCATCTAGTGGTCACTTGATAAAAATGTATGTACATGATAACCGGCAATCTGAGCTAATAAAGTTTACAGAAAACATGACTCCCAAGAACAGATGTACTTGGCCAATCTTGCCACTACAGGCTTCACTTATCTGTGATTTGCACATTGTTTCAAAGATGCCAAATAAAGACACATATGTATAGGTCCCTAATATGAAGACTTTCCTGGTATAAAAAGTGATTATAGTAAGAAAAAGCCATTAAGATTCAGCCATATAGAGCAACTCAGAAGTATAGTGATGGGTAGTGACAAGACTTGTTTTTCTCCTCTATAATTTATTGAAGCCATACTTTAAATCTTTTAAAAATATTGTGGTGTATTAGCCAAAGGTTTTAAGACTCTGAGAAAATAAGCAGTACTATTCTCTCCCGTTTAAATTCAGGTTGTGTCTCACAGTTCATTAATAAATCATACTCCACTCTATTAAAAATTTCACATCAAACCAACTGTATTCCATCTGCCTCAACATCAACAGGGACTTGGTGTCAGTCTGAAGAATAAAATTCCTTTCTTTTTCCACATATCTGTCAAAAGAAACACGTGTTCTAAAATTCTATACGCATCCTTTCCAACTTAAGGCATTTACTAGAACCCCATTCAGATGTTTTATGTTGATTTGTGATCTTACTGTCTCTAAAGAACATCTAATGTTCTACTGTCTATTTTTCTGTTTTGAAAGAGAAATTAAAGAGCTGCTGTTCTTAGAGTCCATGCTTAAGAAAAAAAAAGTTAATAAATAAGTGCAAAGAGAACAGCACTTTCGCTTTCATCTGTGAGTCTCCCTATGGGGAGGCCTCCTTTAAGCTTTGCTCCAACTGAGTGGGACAAGAGCCGTAGGACTCATTAGTCCCATAGTCTTCACTCTCCTGGAGTTTCTCTGGCAAAGGCCATCAATGATCCCTGCTCCTCCTAAAGAATCAGTAGTCGTATTCAAACCAGCAAAAATAAAAAATTTTAAATATATGCCCTGTCGAGATACAGTTGACCTAAGTACAACCAATTTCCTTTTTCAATAAAAAATGATCATCAGAAGTAAGAAAGTAAGGAGGAACCGTTCTCACGGGAATGCATTTGACCCAGTCATCAGCCCAGTATCAGGAGGATTAGGGTCTTTCCAGAGGCTGATGTGACCTCCTGGCTAAGATCAGAAGTTTGCTCTGGAGTGTCCTACCACTTTGCCAGTGGTAGGTGTCACACCCCACTACAGTGAAAGGGCAGAGCAGCCCCCCCCCAAAAGCAGTGGGAGAAAAAGGAACTAAATATTATACAATTACGTTTACATTTTATATGCATTTCTGTTAACGAAAGGAAGCTAAAACCCCCATATTAGTTGTGTAAATGCACTTACCTCCACATACTTCCATGCTGTACTATATATTCACCCAAAGAAGTTCCAAACCAAAAGCTCAACACATTTTATAAGTGCAAAAGTACGTGGCTTGAAAGCCAAGACAATAGAACCAAAGCCCATCAGCTCCTTCTACTCACCGTGGTGGTGGTGGTGACCTCCTCTGTTACAACCTTCAGGGTGTCGACCACGGAGATGTAGCCCAGACGTTTAGCAATCGCCAAGGCGGTGTTGCCATTCTGAAGAGAGTGAAAGAGAGAAAGAGTGAGGACTGAGAGGGAGGACTGCGCCATGAGCCAATGAGCTCACCGGCTGCTCCGCATGAGCCAGCATTTCCTTCCAAAACAAGGCACAGCTTAGGAAAATCACTAGTTTTTACCATTACATCTGAATCTCTTTGTAACTTCTTTAGACTATAGCCCGGGTCACCATGGTAACACAACAAGCTGCATCTGCCTGCTCTTCTAATAAGAAGCACTTGACGCTTTAACCCTGAGGTTGTCAAACATCTCTACAAATATTCCACTGTGTTTAGCAAAGTACCTCTTGAACTGAGGATGCAGCCTCCAAAAATTATTAGGCAGTACCGAGGACTGCTACTCCTCGTCAGAGGCCAGGCCATCTGCTGCAGGTAAGATGTTACCACAGGGAACTCAGTCGCATATTTAGCTACAGCTGTGCAGAAGCTCACAGTGCAGCAAAATAACACAAGCAAGCAACTCCGGCTCCAGCGCCAGCCACTGGGGATCCCGGTTTGTTTAACTGCACCACTTAGTTTACATTCCAATGGCTCCACGTCCCGAGGAGCTTTGTCTAAGCCAGCAGCCTCGCCAACCGGGCTCCCTTAAGAAGGCCGGGCGGGAGGGGTGGACTCGCGCTCACATCTGAGCACCAGCTGTAAGCAGAGCACGTTCCAGCAGCCTAAGCGCAGGGCCCCACTCCCCCGAGAGAGACGGCCGAAGCAGGCCGACTGCTCTCCCTCCCCGGGAAGCGCTGCCGGAGAAGTCACGCATCCCGGGCTTTCCAGAGTGCGGGGGGCTTATCAAAAGGGGAATGTGTCTGAACCCGGCTCAGACAAGGGGCCGCCGGGGCGGGCGAGCAGTAGGAAGCGGCGGCAGCCGCGTGGTGCGGGGCAGCCGGCGCCTGGCTTACCGCGGTGGTGGCGTTGGGCTTGGCCCCGTGCTGCAGCAGGACGTTGATGATGTGCGTGTGGCCCTGCTGGGCGGCCTGGTGCAAAGGCGTGTAGCCGTTCTGTAGGTGACGGTGGCCATGGACCCAGCAGGATTTGCAGCAGAAGGAAAACTAGGTCAGCCTTCATGTTGAGTTTCTTAGTATTACTTACAACAAAACCATCAAGGATGTTTATTTGGAGCTCAGTTTCCCCACCAACCCCATTTCTCAGCAACAAGCCCTCCCTCTCACCTTATGGTCTGCTAAGCAAAGCGAAAAGACTATCTTATGAACTAGGAAGACTAACAAACTCCAAATTACAGCTATTGTTATAGTTTAATTAGCATTAAAAACGGGTATGCTGGAGATTTATAATGACAAAAGAGCGTTATCACAATGATTTCTTCCCTGGGGAAAAAGAAAGTAACATGTTTTTAACTGAAAGCTGCAGACGGTAACCCAAACCACACTGCTTGTCATGACTTTTCTAATAATTAATCTTTGCGCCAGCTTTAGGGCTTCTAAATCAATGGAGGTAAATCTGAATCAGCTTTGGTCAAAGAAGGGCACGCTTAGAGATTGGAAGAGTTCATTGGATGATGAGGGGCCCACTCTCAATTAAAAATGACTTTAAAAATGAAGCTCTTTTTAACATTCTGGTCTAAACGGGAAGTTTCGATGAAAGCTCTGCAATCCATGATTTGTGAGGAATTGCTACTGAGGTTAGTGTGCAGCCAATCTTGCTCAGAACTCTAGTAGGTGGCGGGTGGCACAGGTTGGTTGCATATTCACGTTAATTAAACACATGGCACTGGAATCCTTGGAGGCAAACAAAACATTAATATCATTCATTGAACATTTATTTTGTGCCAGATGCCAGACCTTGTAGTTGTCTTTTAATCTTTATTGTCATCCTAAAACTGAGGGTGCTTGGTACAAAGGAGGTGTCTCGTAAATTATGAGTGACTGAGTGAATGAATAAATGATTGAATAAATGTTTTCTTCCCATTTCAGAGATGATGAAATGGAAAATAACAGTTAAGTGATTTCTTTGCAATCGTTCTAGGTTCAGAACCTGTGTGGATCATGATAGCCAATGGGTATCTGACGACTTTTTTTTATTATCTACCTGCCTCACACTGATAAAATTTTATCCGTTGTCTGGGTTCTAAGTTCTGAGTAGCCTATTTATACCATAAACTTGTAGGAGTATATGTCCCTTTTATTTCATGTCACTGCTGCCTCATGCATGACCAACATGCATTTTTGCCACTCCTGTCTACATAAAGTGTCTTTCTGTATACACGAGGTGCCACATGATTCCTTCTATGCTTTTGCTGTGGCCTTTCCATCCACGGGGATGTCCCTGTATTTGTGAGTCTATCAGTCTGCATGTCCTTCAGTCTGGAACATCATCAGCTCTGCCATGTTTCTATATATCCCTCCAATGGCATTACCTCCAGGAAACCTGGAAAAGAAGCCCATGACAGGGACTCTGAGAAACTTCCTGCTATTGTAGGGACTCTGCTCTCAAATGAGGTAATCCATGGACATTTGAGAAGCATAAAGTGGTATTTTTTTCCCTGAAAATTCTTCTTCATCATGTTTACAAATATTCTACCAACCAAACTTGTTCACCTCTTCAGTATCAACCAACTTAATTCATTTAGCAAGCATTTACTAACCACATGCTATGTGCTAAATAGGAGACACCGTGCTTACGTAAATTAATAATGCCAGAGTAGCATTCTTGCCCCCAAGAGCTCACAATTTACTGAGTCCTCAATGCACACGGTGTCCAGGAAGGTGTCTCCCGGACCTGATTTAATTTAACCTTTACCTGAAGCCTCTGGTGCATGAGCATATTTGCTAGGGAAGTCTGGAGCAACTTAAAAACTTTTACGGGAACATTCGGTTGCAGCTTATCCAGGGTCTTAGGCCCATTCTGCTAGGAGCTCTAGACCCAGTTCTACCAACTTCTAGCGTATTCCTAAATCCCTCTAACCCTCCATTTCCTCATTTACAAAATGGGAATAGCCAAGATTTCAAGTCTGGTGAAGGATTATATATGTTGCCCATGAAACTTTAATTTATCTAAAGTTTTATGAAAATGCTGACAAACATTATTTCACTTTTTTTCTTTCTCATTGAAGAGCTCTATAATCTTTGCTGCATATTTTATAAAAAAAAATTTTCTTTTACATGCTGACGTTCTAAACACTTTTTGCAAATTAATCATGTAATTAACCAACTCTAGTTTTCCTCAAGCTGATGTTCATAGGATTTCATTTTAATTTTAAACAACTAATAGTCTCATAAAAAAGTTCACTTTTCCAGATTTTTATACCAGATCATGAATGTTTGAGGACTAAAGGCAATACATATGTTTACATTTTCATAGCAACAAAACAAATTTTTAGTAACCATAGTTACATGAGATGTGAGAAAACACAAATCCTTTTCCAAAATTGCCATTCTGTGTGAAAAAAATTCTGAAGTGTTTATTAAAAGAACATCTTTTGATTTATGTATCTATCCACTCCCCTGAAGACATTAAAAGGTGTATTTACTTCTAAAAGCAAGTAAAATCTACAGAGTTCACTTAAAAAAAAAAAACCCTGAAAAATTAAAATGAGATTTTTCTCTTAACCAAATGTTTATGTGAATGCATACCCAACCCCAGGTGGGTAAATGATGTTATCTAGACAATATGTATGGCTTGTAAATATTATTTCAACAATCACACACTTAACAAAAAAATACGGTAACTGTTTTCAAGTTCCTCCAAAGTCTCATTGCATAGCTGCATTTATTCCTTTCAGGAGAAGACCTAGATTCCAACAGGAATCTTTCCTGTATGATTATGTGTGATCTGACTCGGCAAAAAATGGTGTTGGGTGCTGATGCCTGAGAATTCCTATTAGAGCTTTTAAATAAGCTCAAAGTACAATTTCATGAGAACTCAAGAATTGCTCAGAACCTAGGCAGCAGCTATTCATGCTAGAGTCAGATGAAGTTTGAAATCTTGAATGTCAATAGTATTGTTTATAATTTTAAAAATAACTATTTTTAATTCATCTGTAAGTATGGTGATGTACAGACACGATTTTGTTTCTGCTTCTAAGAGAATATAAAAAGACTGACTTCCATATCTTATGTTTCTAATAGCATTTTGAATGATGACTTTGAAAACTCACTAATTTAGTGGAGCCCACTCACACAGTTGCATTAAGAATTTCTGATACATAAACTTAAAAAAATAAACATGTAATTACGTATTTCTTTGGGCCAAGGAAGTTGGAGCTGCGAGTTATATTATACATAGTAGCAGCAGTTGTATTATTCATTTCTCTTCCCCTTGAAACAATCTGAGTGCCCTGAAGTGTGGTGTTATGTTCCAACCTTGCTTTGCTGAATAGGACCTTTCAGTTGCCGCTGGGTAAAAACATTTGGGATCAAGTCAGCTCTGCGTTATCCTTGACAACTTCCAACCCAGACCTTACACATCATTGCTTCACTAAGCATTATCATGTGATATTCCCAAATGTAACAGAGTTGGTGGGAATGGTGGGGATGTAAACTGGTGCAGCCATTATGGAAAACAGTATGGAGATTCCTCAAAAAATTAAAAATAAAAATATGGTCCAGCAATCCCACTTCTGGGTATTTATCAAGAAAACAAAAACACTAACTCAAAAAGATATATGCACTCCCACGTTCCTTGCAGCATTATTTATAATAGCCAAGATATGCAGCAACCTAAGTACCCATCAATGGATGAATGAAGAAAGAAATAAAATTGCGGACACACACACACAATCTAATATTATTCAGCCATAAAAAGAAATGAAATCTTTGGGATTTCTTTATGTCCCATTTGGGACAACATGCATGGACCTGGAGGGCATCATGCTAAGTGAGATAAGTTAGAGAAAGACAAATACTGTATGATCTCACTTGTGTGTGGAATCTTAACAAAACAAAATCTGAACTCACAGATACAGAGAACAGATTGATGGTTGCTAGGGGCAGAGGGTGGAGAGTTGGGAGAAATAAGTGAAAGGTATCACAGGTTAAAAAACATTTTTTAAGTGAAAGAAAATGGATTTAAATGTTATATGATATTGGGTGTCCTGTTCTCAGCTATCTCCTCTATATTTAGACGGAGGGATCCTTCCCTCAGGGGTCAAGAGGAGGTGATTAGAACATACCACATCTTTTATAATGCATCACCAGTAAAAACACAAAGATTTTAAAACTATGTACTAAGAATAAAAATGTTTTACATGTGCATTTAAAAAGGAAGCACTATTGTTATTCATAAGACTCAGTAATCAAAATGTTCGAGTAGTGTGAGAAAGCATTATAAAGGTTGTAGTCTAAGGATAGATGTGATTTAAATAAGTAAAAGAGCATCTTAGGAGGGTAAAATAGGAAAATAGTTGGGAGAAAGTGAAGCACGAATAGGCTAGTTCAGTTGTAGGGAAGTTATGAAGTGGTCATCTGGCAACCTACATTACATCAGGTCACATTACAGAGGCTCAAAATCCTGGAAAAGGATGACTAGATCAGGGAACTCCTCAGGAAAAGAAAGCAACAGGATTTGATAAAAGGTAGGAGAGTGAATGACGACAGATAAGATTTTAAGTATAGTGAGTTGACGTTAATGACCTGTAGTGATGTGGAAGTTAGAGCAGTGTACACAGTAACAGTTAAGACCTTTGGCCCTGAGCCAGATTGCCTGGATTGGAATTCCAATTCTTCCAACTAATACTTTGTGACCTTAGATAAGTTATTTAAGTTCACTATGTAAAATAGAGATGGTAATAGCACCTGACTATGAGGTTATTTAAGGATTAAATGATTTAATATATATAGTCATATATAATGTATATGTGACTCCTAGCACGCACTTAATGAATATTAGTTTTAAAATTTAAAAAATGAGAGGCGCCTGGGTGGCTCAGTCAGTTGGGCGCCAGACTCTTGATTTCGGCTCCAGTCATGATCTCAGGGTCCTGGGATCACACCCCACATTGGGCTCCGCACTCATCAGGGTGTCTGCTTGAGATTCTCTCTCTCCTTTTGCCCCTCCCCACACTCACATGCTCACTCCCACATGCTCTCTCTCAAATAAATAAATATTTATTTATTTTATTTAAAAATGAAAGGCACAGAGTCTCAGCTGCCTGTCTATAGTTCCTCATAAGGAGGGGATTTCAGGAAGGGGAACCAAGGCCTTGAAACAACATAAAGAGGGCGCCTGGGTGGCTCAGATGGTTAAGCGTCTGCCTTCGGCTCGGGTCATGATCCCGGGGTGCTGGGATCGAGTCCCGCATCAGGCTCCCTGCTCCTTGGGAGCCTGCTTCTCCCTCTGCTTCTCTCTCTCTCTCTCTCCCTCTGTCTCTCATGAATAAATAAATAAAATCTTTAAAAAAAAAAAAACAACATAAAGAACTGGCTAGAATATAAAAGTGTTCTATCTAGCAGGCTTCTTTTTTTCTGTAGTAAATTGTTAACTGAATAAGAGCTACCTAAGCTCTATAATAAAAGTAGTTCTGAAGCTAAGCTACATGGCTGACAGAGGCTCCTAGAATGAAAAGTCTCAAACACCTGCACAAAACTATACTGCTTATTCAAAGTCACTTTAGAAGAACTAAGAAGGAAAAAAGATACATTTGTAGCTATGGTGAGCTAGTGAAGTATTCATATGGCTGAACCTCTTTGCTTATAGAAAATGAAAATGAGTACAAGGATTTTATTTACCTTGGTTTTTGCGTTGACGTTTGCACCCTGCTTCAGAAGAAAGTTGACCATTTTCACATTTCCATAGTGACAGGCCACAATTAAAGGGGTGTAACCAAGCTATAACAAATACATAAATATATAAATAAATAAATGCATACTTACTCTAGCAGTTAATACTTAAAGGGAGAGGGATTAGGTAGAATCTCCGTAATGGTAGGAAGGGTAAAGATTCTATTCCACTGTATAAATATTACTGAGCAGATTATTTACACTTCCTGTGGATACAAATATGGACAGAAGCAGATCCCTGAGCACAAAGAACTTAACACCAGCAAAGGAAATCAGACATGTGTATGACTTCATCTGACAAAGAACTAAAAGAGAGATACAAATAACAATCTGAAAATAGAGAAGAAAAACTGAGTCTGATGGGAGGATCTGAAGGAGATGCATGAAAATGTAGCTTTGGTGGGCTTGAAAATTTTAATGGCATAGAGAAGGAAAAGCCATTTTCAGGACCAAGGGTTGGAGGCAAGCAAATACAGGAAGAAAAGAGCAAGTCATCGGGACTGGCAAAGCAATAAGGGAGAGAGGCTGACTTAGCCAGCAAAATTAGAATCCTTTTATAAAGGGTCCTGATATCATGATCTCCACTGGACTTGATTGTGGCAAAAATGGAGAATGATTATAGATCTGTGAGTAAAAGAGAATCATAATTAATTCAGAATGGACTTTTGAGGAAGGGTGCTTGGACTGGGGGTGACCTGAATGGGGGCTACTGGGAGTCATCCAAGTCAGAACCTGTCACAATATTGAAAGTGATTCACTTTACCTTCGTGTGAGCATCCTGGTCAGCCCCGTGCTTAGTAAGAATGTCAGCAACATTCACTTTATCTTCTTGGGCTGCAAGGTGTAAAGACGTGAGTCCACTCTATAGAGAGAATGGAAGCAAATGGGTACATTTGAAGAAGAAAATATGTTTCATCATCTATAATAGCATGTCTTGAAAAAATCCTGGAAAATTCATAGCCACTCCCTAGCACCTGCAACTTTTGATCTCTAAAACAGACCCTCCAAGTTAATATGCCTTTCTAAGACATATTCTCTAAGTTAATCAACAAATTACATTTTCTTTATTTGGGTACCTCTATTATGATATGAGAACTTTAAAATAACTCAGCTAATAAGCTTCCAAACAACATTCATTTCAAATCCATCTGTGCCTCCTGCTGAATCTATTTATTCCCTTAAATAATTAATCAACCAACTACTACTTCTACTTTTTAACCATAGCAATAATCTATATTTTCATCAATAAAATGTCATATCAAGGTAAAAAACGTACAGAGTTACAGGAAACGAGTTCAGGACAGTTTTCTCCAGCACTCAAGGATAGTATACTATTTGGAGGGTTCCTCTAACTGCTAAATAAAAGTAACCCCATCATTTATATATAGCACCATAAACTGGCCGGTTTTATATAAAATGTTTGGCATTTATACATCAAGTAAATATTCTGATTAATTGTATATACAACTCAAATACAGTTAAGAACTAATACAAGAGGGAAGCATGGAGAAAGGAGAGGGAACGGGTGCTTTCCTCAGTCAATGCCACAATCTAGCAGCCTCACTACGTGTGCAAGTAGCTTCCAGCACACAAAACTGAAATTAAAAGAGTATCTTTAAAACCTAAATCATTTGTGTATTTAACAGGTGTTTTCTGAGAATCTTTCATATGCCAGGAGGTATTCTAGGTATCTGAATATATCAGTGAACAAACACTTCTTCCCTATATTCTAGCTAACAGTATATTCATACCCTATGTTTCTCTCCCCCTGCTACTGCTCAAATACCTAGTATATTCATCCCTCCCTGTGCGTCCTGCAGCTAATACACTGAGTTAGCGAACTTAAGCTCTGAGTTGGCAACTCCCACTTCCCCCATTCTCCCAATTCATGTCCAGAGAGATTCTACCAGCTCCCCTGACTGTGGCTTTGCAGATCTGCCTTTCCACAGTCAGCCAGGTTCTTCAAAATTCATGATCTCTAGCCAGGGATCCCTAGCCATAACTGATTCCAGATATGAATATAAATTAAAAATAGCACTTTTCAAAATAAATTAAAAACAGCACTATCAGAAGCATCACATGATCAGTTTCATGAAATGTCTAGAACTTCATTCTACTCAAAAATTCCTTGATTTGTTTATGGATTTCTTGTGTTTATTTTCAAATGAAGATTTGTTTTTAACAGACAATAAACACTATCTGCCCCCTTCATATACTGACGCTAAATGAAGTATTCTACAACTGGTCTCAGTGAGAATATCCCCAGTAGGGGAAATGATCACCTGGATGGCATGATGTCAATGGCCACAAGAAAATCCATGCCCCAGACTTTAATGACAGCTGAGGCATTGAATTTCACCATAAAGCTTTAGCATGTTCATTTCTGTTAAAATGCAAATATCTTTTGGAGGAATAACTCTATCATTAGCTCTCACTGTACTTAAAAAAAAGATCCATGAGGACTTCTGATAGAGAACAAAGAAGCGTATAAGGGCAAGGGATTTACTGGAATACTTCTGAGTGATAAGGACACAGAATAGGACTCTAGAGGCATCCAAGACAACCTTTTTCAAAACTATTTCTAAAGGAAATAATGCTACATAACCTATTGATAAACATTATTTTTTTTTTAAGATTTTATTTATTTGACAGAGAGAGACACAGCAAGAGGGGGAACACAAGCAGGGGGAGTGGGAGAGGGAGAAGCAGGCTTCCTGTGGAGCAGGGAGCCCGATGCGGGGCTCGATCCCAGGACCCAGGGATCATGACCTGAGCCGAAGGCAGACGCTTAATGACTGAGCCACCCAGGCGCCCCTGATAAACATTATTAAGACCAATTTACATATGAGTTTTCCAAAAGCACTAATTAGCTCAACAGTGAGATGTAGAAAACACAGTACTTGTGTATTTGTGAAAAATCCTAAGAAACTTAATTTTCACTAAACCCATACCTTGTGTTACAAAAAGCATTAAGAGCTGTAAGTAATGAGCTAACTTGTAAATATAGGCTTCAATTTTTAGTTTCTCAGAAGCTGACTCCAGTGGAGTACATAAAGTGTAAAATAGATAAACATTAAATAGGTAGGTAGGTAGGTAGAGTTGCAGATATATATGTAGAGAAAGAGGGAGATGTATAGACAGACATGTAATTGTAAAAATCCAAGTATTTCCATATTTGAATAATGTCTTTTCCCCCTATATTCCTAACTCTTACTCTATTATAGTTAATATGCTTGCCCACAAAGGCTGAAATGACTGAGGTTCTTTATTAAAAACACTGATTCTCTGGCTGCCACTACCAGAACCACCCAAACTAAGCTAAAGTTGGCTCAGAAATCTCTATTTTACTGAGTTCCCTGCATGCGTCCCTCCCCCAGCCCCCAGGTGCCTCTCAAGCTCAGCTGGGCTGGAGAATGGCTTGGGTAGTGGCCATGGACCAACAGCTTAGAATCAGTTGTTTGGGCCAGAGCCCAGATGAACTGTCACCTCTCTCTCTGTGTATCTCTCTCACGCTCCCTCTCTCTGTCTGAAATTTAGAATTAAGACCAGCAGGTACTATGGCAATCTGGACGGACTGCTTTAACTGCCGTGATGTTAACTCTTGGGAGCTATAGGGTCACCACTTTGGTCATATACACAATGAACAGAGAAAGTAGATCTGTGGAGGGAGGTAAATGAAACTGACTTGCAGGGAAAAGTCAAGATTCAAAAATGTAGCCATACAGGCAGAGAGTTGGCCTCTTGCTTCCTTGTGGTTTTTATCTCATAAGGCTCCGACTGTTACTGTCCTTGAATTCTAGAAGTAATCTCTGTTTCCTTTTAATACATCCCCTCCTTCTGTTCCAAGTTATCTTTGATTGGTTTCTGTTTACATTCATCTGAGAGACTCTTGGCTAAAACAAGAGGCAAAAACAATACCTTGGTTGACATGTGGATATTGGCTCCCTTATCCAGAAGCAAGGTGACCATATCCGTGTGCCCCTCCTGTGAGGCCAGGTGGAGTGGGGTTACTCCTTGTTTTGTTACAATGTTAGTCTCTGCTCCATAGTTCAGGAGCGTGGAAGCTATCTGCATTTGATTCTTCTTGGCAGCAATATGTAAAGGAGTATAGCCATTCTGGAAAAAAAAAATATATATCTTGTAAGCTTAGCACTTGCCCTAATATATATCTCCAAAGGAAATAAGAATCTCTCATCAACAGAAAAGTTATAAAGTGAGTTTACAGTAAATCCAAATTCTTACCCATCCCAAGTTCCCATCTAACACCCAAATCTTTAGAACCAATATCACAAGGCACCCATTCTATTGTCAGACAGGTGTAGACACAAAAGCCCCAGAGCTTAACTTCTTCTTACAACATTGGTTCTTTCCTGCAGAGCAACATAAAATAAGCCAGGTTCCTCTCCCACATGACTGTCCTTCAAATACCTGGAGATGGTTTTCATATCTCCCTTTAGGCTTCTTTTCCAGGTTAAACTTCCCCGGTCCTTTAACTATTCCTGATAAAAGCGCCATTGCTAGACCTCTCCATTAAGGATGACCTGTTCTAGACTGAGTCTAGTTTGTCAATAGTGCTCTCGAATTGTGTGACCTGGAACTGAATGCTATACTTCAGACACAGTTTTAGTAGTAAGGAATACAATGGAATTCTTTCTTTGATCTTGTTATAACACTCCTGCTATTATGCATCTGGGTGGATTGTACTTTTTATTCATTCGATAGCTATTTAGTAAGTTGCGAGCATGTGCCAGGCAGTGTGCTAGGTATAGGGATACAGAGGTGAACAAGACACAATCCCTGTCTTTAAGGGGTTACATTCTAGTGGAAAATATATTAAGCAACAAAATTGGCTTATATCAATCCTGTGGCCTATTAAAATCCTAGATCTTCCACTTGTCTCTACAATCCGTGGGCTCAAAAGTAGAAATATGAGGCTACTAGTTTTATGTGGCAGTTTGTGGAGAGGAGCAGAGGAATTCATACTTGGGTTACAAGAGCCAAACGTTAATCCCTATACTTAGTTAAAAGAAAAAACAAACAAGCAAACAGACCTCTAGAACAAATGTTAGTCTGGAACCTATACTGTTTCCTTTCCTTTTTCAAGTCTGGTAGAATTTTCCGTGAAAAACATGTAATAGAAATTTAAGAGTGGCCTTGCCATGAACTGTGATATAATGAAGGTAAAGACAGAATAACGATCAATTGCTTCTTGTGAATCTATCATAAGATAATTTTAGGTTATGTTATTTCCTGAAGTCTAACTGCAAAGGGTACCAAAAATTAAAAGGAGTTTTGAGAACTTAAATGTCTTTATATGCCATCATCAAATCTTGATCCTCAATGATCTGATCTTATCTACTCTGCCCCCATTTCTCCAAGCAAAAATAAGCATCTTTCAGTTCAGATAAATGATATTTCTCTTTAAGCTGCTGAGGAAATTTGGCAGCTCTCCTTAGAAGCCTGTTCATGGTCTGATCATTGGTCCCAGATGCTCCAGGTATTCTAGAACACTGCACTTGGACCATGGGCTCTACTAAATTAAAGAATACATAAATTTTTGTGGACCCTGTAAGTTTAGCATCTTTTTTTTTTTTTTTTTGCTATAGTGTTTTCTTCAGTCCAAATGTCCCCCATTCCTGCATGTGGGCTCTACCAAAGTTAGGTGAATTATCAGAGTAAATCTACCAAGGTTAGGAAGTCAGAGACTTACATGGAGGAGGACAGGAGGTTTTATCAAAACAACATAAGAGATCGTTAAAAAGAGTGTCAATTTTGGCAATATAAGAGATCTGACTGTCCAGCAGATACTTGATCTACAAGATCTAAATAGCCCTCCTACTCCATATAGAGTGAAACTTTTTGGAACCAAATAACCACACACAGAAAAAAATCCAGTGAAAACTAAGAAAAGCTTCTGGGCTCTGGTAGAAAAAAGCAAACAGGTTCTAGAGTTCAAGGGATTATGTCTGTGGCTAGGGCAGGTGGTTTCAGTGAATAGAGAGTCAAAAGTGGAGATGGGGGTGTGCCTGCGTGGCTCAGCTGGTTAAGCATCTGCCTTTGGCTCTGGTCATGATCCTGGGGTCCTGGGATCTAGCCCCCACATCGGGCTCCCTGCTCAGTGGGAAGTCTGCTTCTCCCTCTCCCTCTGCCCCTGTCCCCTGCTTGTGTTCTCTCTCTCTATCTCAAATAAATAAATAAAATCTTTAAAAAAAAAGTGGAGATGGGGGTGGGGGTAAAACCAACTGGAAGCTCCTTGGAGTGGCCCCAGAACTGAAGACTCATACTCATCAACAGGCTGGGGCAGATGAGTGGAAGATACTAGAGGAGCCTCCTGAACATCACCCAACTACGGATGTTGGAGTAGAGATTGCTCTAACTGGTCTTATGGACTCTATGTGTGTACCTAAGAGTAAGGACCATACACTGTAGCGGCTAGAGATCAGGGCTATATTTGTCTTTTTGGGAAAACCATACAGATTATTTTATAATTTAGGTCCTCTCTCCCAAGTAGATTGAAAGTTCCTTGTGGGAGGAGAACAAAAGTTTTACTACACTCCTTTCTTTATACATAGTAAGAGTTCAAATAAAGTGTTGTTGGGTATTGATGAAATCTTTCATATCTATATTGAGAATGGCCAGCTTGGAGAGTTAATGAAAAAAATGCTGGCATGTTAAAGGAGTAGGTATTTTTATTCCATTGAAATAGTTGCTTAGTCTTCATTCTTTCATTTAAATGTATTGAGAATCCACATAATACTGTATGAGGTAATTTAGGGATATGTAGATGAATATGATATGATTACTATCCTCAAGTAGTTTATCATCTAGTAGGAAGAAAGACATCAAATAAATGCAGAATTGATGAGACTACTGAGAGAAGGATATAAAGGAATAAGAATGATATGCATAATTATAAATATTTGACCTCCTTTTTTTTTTTTTAAAGATTTTATTTATTTATTTGACAGAGGGAGACACAGCAAGAGAGGGAACACAAGCAGGGGGAGTGGGAGAGGGAGAAGAAGGCTTCCCCCCAAGCAGGGAGCCCGATGTGGGACTCGATCCCAGGACCCTGGGTTCATGACCTGAGCCGAAGGCAGATGCTTAATGACTGAGCCACCCAGGTGCCCCTGCCCTCCTCTTTTGATAGTTAAAATATTTTATTATTAGTGCATATTTGTACCAATAAAATATGCATGTATATGTACATGTATAAATGTATATATGTAGATATATATGTAGGTATGTTATAAAGTTATGTATATTTATATTGTATCATATATAATATATACAAAATATATGATATTATGCAGAGTATACTTTTTATATAGAATATCCCATTTTATTATATGTGTATACGTGTACTTTAAATAGCCTGGTGATGGGTATTAAAGGGCACGTTCTGCATGGAGCCCTGGGTGTTATATGCAAATAATGAATCATGGAACACTACATCAAAAACTAATGATGTAATGTATGGTGGTTAACATAACATAATAAAAATAAATAGACACATGAGTACACATATACATATTTATATAATAGAAGTAGAATAATTCTCTCTCCGCTACTTTGGGACATAGTGGACCTAATGGTTAAGACTGCTGGTTCTAGGAGCACCTTGCTGGCTCAGGCAAAAGAACAGGTAACTTTTGATCTCAGGGTTGTGAGTTCGAGCCCCACATTGGGTGTAAAGATTACTGAAACACAACAAAACAAAACAAACTTAAAAAAAAAGAGTGCTGGTTCTAAAGTCAAATTGCTTGAGGTCAAATCTTAGCTCTATCACTTATCAGTCAAGTGACTTTGGATAAACAAATTAACCTATTCAAATCTCACTTTTTTATCTGTAAAATAGAAATTATTATGACACCAATCTCATAGCATTAACATGAGATTAAATGAGATAGTGCATGCAAAATGGTAGGTACAGTATTTGGTAAATGGGAGTTGTGCTGTTTTATCACGTCATCTAACATAGCATGAATATTTTCCTAACACAATAAATACTTTTTAAATAAATCCTGATAAAATATATGTTTGAATTAATGAAAGATGCAATGATTATTTCCTGTATTATGTGAGATTCATGATTTTCTGCACAATAAAGGGGCAACCCAAATAGAAATGCCCTGCCCGTTGGTACAAGTCTTTGTTGGCACTGTCTCAGAAACTGGTGATACATATACATCAAAAAGGAATTCCCAGTCTCGGAACTTAAAAGGATGTATATTAGAGTTAACATGGATGAAATACTTAAAGAAAAAAGAAACGAAGAGCCTTTCATATACCATAATGAAAAAATTGAGGTCTAAAGGAATAAGCAAAAAAAAAAAAAAAAAGGTTATGTTATGTCATGACATTCTGGTTATAGGGGAAAAGGAAAAACCTACTGGCTTTATTATGTTTCATTTCTCAAAATTCAAAACTTTAGTCTCTAAAACACTGCGTGTTAGCAGTAAAAGTCACCTCTACTGTTTTGTAGGCATATCCCCTTAATCTATGCTGACTTTTAAAAAATCTTAAAAGGCTTTGTGGAAATAACTGGTAGAAATAATAATAATAAAAAATAGTACCAAAAGCTACTATCACTAGGACTATTTGCAGTTATACCATACCATGTGTTTAAAGAACAATTCCCTAAAACAACATGGAAGGAGCTAGAGAGTATAATGCTAAGTGAAATCAGTCAGTCAGAAAAAGACAAATACCATAAGATTTCACTCATATGTGGAATTTAAGAAACAAAACAAACAAGCAAAGGATAAAAAGAGAGAGAGACACACCAAGAAATAAACTCCTAACTCTAGAGAACAGACTGCTGGTAATGGAGGGGGGTGGGTGCGTGGGTGGGTGTGGAGGTAGGATGGTTGAAACAGGTGGTAGGGATTAAGAGGGCACTTGTCATGATGAGCACCAGGTGATGTATGGAAGTGTTGAATCATTCTTTTGTACACCTGAAACTAATAAAAAATTGTACGTTAACTATACTGGAATTAAAATTTTAAAAAATGAAAAAACAATTCCCATGTGCAGTCCAATTACAGTTGCACCCTATCTCTGCAAATCCTTTTCTGCGGTCCTCACCTTGGCCGTGGCATGAGGGGAAGCGCCCTTCTCCAGTAACAGCAGTGCTACCTTCTGGTTGTCATAATGAGCAGCAACGTGGAGGGGGGTAAGGCCGTTCTGTAAAGGGTGTGTTTAAATTCAGCATTAATAAATTAGCGTGAGCTGCCCTGAAGCTACCCAAATGCATGGAAACCGGTATCGATTAAGTCCATGTTAATTAATTAATATGGTCAATAAAAAATCAAATAAATACCTAATGATTTTCATATTAGAAACTTAGCTAAAACTGAGTATGTCTGGTGGAGTGTAAGTTGGCACAGGTTATCTGGATAGCCACCATAAATAAAAGTCTGAAATGCTATGCAAGAATTACTACATTAACATTGCAAGGATTCTTCTAAATTTAGTGACAAGGGCATACATTGAAGGCACAGCTCTAAATGCCTTCTACATTAGTGTGGATGTGGACAGGTCACGGGCAGATATCCCCCTCGTGTCTATCTGGCATAGTTTCATCAGTCGCCTTCATATTCCTTTCAGAAGAGTGAGAAAAATATCTTGAAGTACAGATCTCCAAAGCTTCCAACCTGACTGTGTTACGTAACTGTCACATATTAGGAAAACTCTTTACCTTCCCGGCAGAATCTGCGGCAGCGCGGCGTTGTAAGAGGAGTTTTGCCACATCCAGGCTTCCATACTTGGCTGCTACATGCAGGGGAGTAAAACCCTTCTGAAAATGCGAAGAAACAAAAGTAAAATGTAATCTTTATTTTTGTGACTCCTAACAAAATCTTGTTGTTTGTTTGTTAACATACTGAGCAAACTATGTTGAGTCTCTATTTGGGAAAAACATTAGAAGCATTAAATCTGTTAGCCATAAACAAGGACTAGAATAAAGAAGGAAATTTAACATGCAAGAGTTTGGCTTGATAGATTGAACAAAACAGATTTTATTTTAAGGGCTTGCAAAACTGAAATTTGACTTTATAGGTTTGAGATTTATAAAGGCCACTGGTGTCCCTAAAATGGTTCTCTTTAGTGATTGGGGGTGGGGGTGGGGAAAGCTTGTCTTTTTCCTGCCTCTAAAATTAATAGGATTGAGACAATAGCTGCCTTCTCTCCAATCCTTCTTTTTCTATCCTTTTTATAATACCTGAATTCCAAATTTCTTCATTTAAATTTTAGGATATTTCAGCAGCCATGGTAAAAAAAATTACTGTGATTCAGTTGATTTGCATTTTCTGCAGAAATAGCAAGATAAATGGTCGACAGAGAAAAAAAAATGCTCACTACTAAAAAGCACCTCCCATCCTGTTATTTAGCCCCTTTCCCAGAAGACCCACACTGTATAAAAGACCAATTCCTTTTGTAAAATACACTCTACTTCTGGCATAACGTTGAGCTGATTAACGTCAGACTTTTAAACACACCAGTGGAAAGCTTTTTTAAAAGAATGCTCTGTTACCCATGTTTATATGTGCAGATTCAATGTCTTGTGTGCCTAACTAATGTCATTCTCCGTCATTAGCTGTGTTACAAAAACAGCCAAGTCCCTGGACTCAGATCTCAAGGATGGCACGGTTCCTACACCATGATCTCAAATCCATCCTCTTGGCTAGACAGTCTAACCACATGCTCTTCTGGCACTAAAGTGAGAGTGGGAGAGTTCTAATGCTGACCGGGGCCTGTAAAACACACCAAGCAAATGTGCCTGGTGTAGGTGGTCTAAGGTGTGGCTTATCCTTGGGACCACTGAAGCCCTCATCACAATACAGAATTTCTCCCAAGAAACAATATTGCCCTTTCACAGTGTCACCACACGAATTATGTTTAATTAAGATGTTTTTCTTTTTGCTTTTTTTTGAACATTTGGTACTAATCAGTCCTTGGAGGAGAGTGATTCTTTCACTTTCTCCAAATGTGGGACAAATATAGGAAATATTTCCTCCTCTTGCATTAGTCTGTTTCAGCCAACATTTATTGTTAATGTTCTCCCTCTGCTCAATGTACACAATGATTGGGGTGACACTCAGGATGAAGTAGAATTCTTTGAGAAAAAAAATACATGATAAGGAAGAAAAAGAAATGCCTTGTCCTTAAAGTCCTGCTGGAATAGTGATCCAGCCCCTTTATAAATTTGAAACATATTATTAGACAAAACTACACAGAATCTTTACTGTAGAATCACAAAATAGGGGTTGGAAAGCATCTCTTGAGTCATACATCTTCCTTCTTCTCCTGTGTTAATTTCCTCAGGATTTCACTTACCCTCTGATATTTAGAAACACTCAAAGAGCTTTAATGATGATGAGTCAACTATTCATCAGAACCCCAGTGAGTTCCACTATTGAACTGCTCAGTTTAATAGTTCCTTCCATTTAACCTCAGTACTTGACTATGGCTTTAGATATATCTTTTAAATCCTAAAAATCTTGGCAAGGCACTATGTTGTATTCTCTATTTCTGTACTTTACATATCTGAATTTATTTGTCACCTTCATCTGATGAGATGATCACCCAGTCTTTCTTGGGTTGTTGTTGTTATCACTATTACATTTGTTGCTTAGTTTCTGACTTAAAAAAAAATGACTTTTAAAATCCTTTCAACTCTTCAGGTTTCAGCATTTGAATAATTATCAGTTTCTTACATTAAAACATGTTTTATAGCCACAAGCAACCAGATTAAGTGATACTGGCTAGTGGGCCGTTCCTACTTCTAGGAGGACAGATGCCACAACATTCCTTGAGTTCATATACTTCTCCCTCAGATGTAGTACTTATGACTATTTGCTATGAGCAAATTGAAAATGTCTTTTAAATAAGATGAATCACTGTTGTATTTATGGGAATTATTTTGCCTTGCAAACAATACACTTGTTGCGGGCTTTAAACTTGTCTCATTTTTCTACTCTTCTGTACCCATCCAATTTCTTTTGCTCTGATTAGCTGAGTGTGTTCATGTCACATCCAAGTAGTGAATTTCAAACAGAATGTATCAAGTGGAAAAAAAATTATTCTGCCCTAGCATGAAACTTTGAACATAAGTAAAATTTAGGCTGGTGTATACAAAGAATATACAACTAATAAAGTGCTTCTCTAGCTCAGCTCTATTTAGACACTGTAAATACCCAAGCAAGAATCTAGCTGATAAATATTAGAGAGCAGAATGGGAATGACAGCGGATACCAGAGTTGGAAAAATGCAGAATCAAGTAAGGTGAACTTCTAGATAGTCCTAAAACTCTTAGCAAATATAGTATTGCCAATTTAATGCAATTTTCTTTTCTTCGTTAGTAATACTAGTTCAATGTATTTGGGAACCTTCTATTTTTTCTCTTGGGAATACATTATAGATTTTCTAATGGAAAGAGAAGAGAAAGTAGCCCTTGCTCTATGGAAATAATCTTAGTTAAAAAAGCACCAGACACCTGTATTAGAAACAATACTACTTAGAAGGATGGAATCCAGCACTCATTATTGAAAATATTATATGGGATTTCAAAATCCCTTTTGATGATTTAGGAAATGAATCTAAAATATTCAAATAGAGAGAAGTAAGTCAGAGCCTAAAGAAGATTTACCCTTCTTGATACTGGGGATAGTAGAACAGAGGAAGCCTGACTCGGGATCCCTCTTAGTCCATGTTGGCATGGAGCCATCCCCTTACCTTGGTAGCTAAGGAGTGGGCTGCTCCTGCTTCCAAGAGGACTGATGCCACATCTACCTGGCCTTCCCTGGCAGAGATGTGCAGTGGCGTGTACCCATTTGTCGTGGCTGCATCTGGATGAGCCATATGTTGTAGAAGCAGCTGGACAATTTCTGTCTTACCCAGGCGAGAGGCAATGTGCAAAGGTGTCTGTTCCTCCTACAACTCAAGTCAAGTCAAAAATTAGTGCCAGAACAAGCCAGACTTCACTGATAACACATTTCACTCAGATGTTTCCTGACATCTTCTTGGAATCTCTAGGAACCTCTACCCAAAAAGGAAATTATTACTACTCTGACCACAATTTATTTTATATTTTGTTATGGAGGTGACCTGTTTGGTCACAAAAATCTCTTAGATTTTCTTAGTAGTATGTACTTGCATGAATTTGGTCATTGTTTCCTGGGCACACCAACATGTTACTCAACTGATTAAGGCCTCAGCCCTCACTTACGCTTAAATATAAACCAACTTGTGGTTCTGAATAAGAAAGAAATCTAGTCCAGAAGTACTAAGACCTAGATTCTCATCCAAAAGCTTTCACTAAGAGACAGTATTTATTCTGGGAACTGTATCAAGAGAGAAAGAATGAGGGATGCTGGGAAAACTGTTCTTACTCCACTCAAGCCAAGGATAGAAATGCTGGTCATTTTCTTCAAAGAGAGACTGCAGATAAGATATTACAATCTGATTTTTTTTTTTTAATGTTCCAGGAAACATTGCAGATGGTTCTGGGACTCGCATCCAGGATTTCAAGATGAAATGGAACTCCGGCAAGAAGCAAAGGGGGTTAAGTATTTGCCAAGTGCTTTCCATTTAGAAACGCAGAGAGGACATAGCTGGTATAAGGAATAGGAAGGATATGTCGGAAGAGGCTCAAGAAATCACCTGACTCTAATGTGTAGTCTGAAAATATTTTCATTTCGGTGTTGAGAGAACTAGGCCAAACCACTCTTTTATAAAAAGAAAATTGAGCATAACCTTAGTGATGAAAAAAAGGTATGTCTTTACAATGTGTTCAAGGGCATGTCATAATCAAAGTGAGGAAGGAAAAGCTGGGTCAGCTTTCTAAGCTAAGAATGAATGGAAAAAGGATATAATAGAGTGGGGAAGAGCTGTTCAAATAAATGTAGTATCTTAAAGTATAAGAAAGAAAGTATTCAGAGGGAGCCACAGAAGGAGATGGAAGAGCATTGTATGAATTTCAGGGTGGTGAGAAGTAAATAATAAATAACAATAACACAAGTGTTTTAGTAATAGAATTGGAACCTTTTTTAAAAAATGCAATTTATAACCTTCCTTCATGTACAATGCATACTTAATCCTATTCTTACAAAAGACCCAAAAGGAAGGCATAAAATGTATTATTAGACCATTTTCTGGAAAACGGAGGTTAATGGGAATTAAAGCGGTTCTCCAGGATTGTTCGAGGTCACCAGGCTATTAAAACAGGACTTGAATTCAGGCACTGGATTCCAAAGACATTCATTGGCCTATACATCCTACAGAAATACACAGTAAGTTGGCCACTGAGAAAACTAACAGAATGAGGTGACCCTCAATAGGAAAGGAGACTGACAACACTTCAGAAGATACAACTGTTCTCTGAATCACAGCAGAGAAGAAAATAGACAAATGGGGAAAATTAAATTACAAAGATAAACAGAGAACAAAACAACAATAAAAGAACCGAAGAACCTAAGAATAGCTATCATGAACATCTGTTGCTTCTGGGTTTCCCTTCTTGCACATCCGCCCAGCACAATTTGATAGAGGCAGGTATCACAAGTGACATAATCTAAAAGGTGTTCTTGACGAGTGAGCGGGAGACCTGGGGCAATGAAGACACCTTCATCCAGAGCTCGTAGCAGCCAACTATTTGGTTAAATTATCAACTCTTGTCCCTTGGTTCTCAGACCTCAGAGCATTTAGGCACTTGATTTTGTTTGTTTTTGTTTTTAATTTTTTTAAGAAATAAATTGCCTTGCCTACTTTCTTCAACTTTTGGTATAGTCCTATCTGAAAGCAAAAAAGGGAAGAACAAACAAGTTTGGTTAGAAAGTCTTTCCACTGGTAACTAGAGATATAAGACCTTTTAAGGTTTGGGTAATTATTTCCCTGTTGAACTGCAAAAGTTGAATTTGCTGCTCCAAACTAAAGTTAATTCAGGCCAAGGCAAAGAATTGGGAAAGCGCAGAAAATAATATTCATGGAAAGGGCTTTAAAAAGGGAGGGTTACCTTGATCCTCTAGGCCTCTTCCATATATAAGGGGTAATAATTCCCTCATCATAAAGTGTCATTGACTGTCATACAGCCTGGACCAGGAAGAGATGAGTTCTGCCTTACTCCCACAAGCTATAGTCTTCCAAAATTAGGAAGACCTGCTGAGCCCCAACTCCCTTACCAAAAGACAGAAGTAGCAATGGCTTAGACAAGGTTCAAAGATTTGATAAAATTTCTGCCATTAATTTCTAGCTAACAGGATTCTCAGGAACTAAATCGACTGGCAGCTAACTCAAGTTTTAAGGTGAATTAAGTTTCAAGTGAGTTTAAGCCTCGGGGCCCTGTGATTGCTCAATCCCTAAACCAAATGCCAGCCCTCCATATTGTGCAAACAGAACACAGGCACCTCAAGTAAGAGAGCTCCCCGATGGGCAGGCCCCAGTGGTTCTCTCAGTCATATCCATGGAGGATACTGGACAAGGAAGGATCTTTGTGAGGGCAGGGTCTGGGGGCAAGCACACTGACTGACCAATGAACTTATGCCACTGCAGTCCCTGGTCTCTTAGTCTGTCCAGCAAAATCGCCTTATGCTCTTGACTTAGAAGAGGATGCAGCTCACACTTTTTAAATGAGAGGCATTGGTGTGGTAAATGATTTTTCTTTCATTATATAGTGGGAGTAGCGCCATGATTGTATAACCATGAGATATTATTTCTAAACCTGATTAAGAAGAATACAGACTATCCAGAGATCTTGCCCTTGGAGTTCAGCATAGTAACTGAGTATAATTGCTGACCATCTCCCCTTTGGGAGGGAGTGAATGATAGAGCAATGTATTAGGTTAAGAGAGAGAGTTTCAGAAGTACATGCATGTGGGTATGCATGCTGGGAAACCGAGAGGTAAAACAGAACAGATAGATTTTCATTTTTCTGTTCAATAACCCCTACACCCTTTTTCTGGGAAGAGCCCTCCCTCATTTGGGGAAAGAAGGCATCCCCCACTACATGTGGCTCTGGAGGGGCTGCCAATCATCTCACTCCACTTCATGGATGGACCACATGAATGGGCATGGAGCCCAGGCTTGATACTATATCCTGGCCATAGTGATCAGCCCAGGTGGGAAATGTGACTAATTAGACTCCTGTTGTTTGTTTAGATAGGAGAGATAAGGTCTCTCTTTATAGACGAAAAGGAGATAATGCTAGGAGAAAGATACAGAATCAAGGAGGAACCCTTTTCTTACTCTTTCTAACTCCATGACCTCAGGAAAGACAGCACAATTTTGGATTTCAGGACCCTAAGCCACCCTACAACACATGGTTGCTCTGTGTGTTAAATAAGGTAATTCGTGTTAAAATGCTTTATGAAGTATAGACCACTGTACAAATGTTAACTAAATCAAAGATTTCCAGGCAAACCTAAAGGGCTAAAAAAAGCAGAAACTCATGGTTAAATTACAACTTGAAATAGAACATGTGAAAAGGAAAACCTTAGCTTCTTGCTGCTCAGTATAATCCCAGGATCGGGAACACGCCCATCGCCTGTGAGTTTGTTAGAAATGCAGATTTGGGGGACGCCTGGGTGGCTCAGTCGTTAGGTGTCTGCCTTCAGCTCAGGCCATGATCCCAGGGTCCTGGGATCGAGCCCTGCATTGGCCTCCCTGCTCAGTGGGAAGCCTGCTTCTCCCTCTCCCACTCCCCGTGCTTGTGTCCCTCTCTCACCGTGTCTCTGTCAAATAAATAAATAAAATCTTTTAAATAAAAAAAAAAAAGAAATGCAGATTTGGGGCCTCACCCCAACCTACTGAGTTCATTCTGCATTTTCAAAAGATCCCCAGGTGATGTCATGCATAATGACCTTTCAGTAGCATGGCTCAGTAGCATGGCTCTATCAGGCTGTGCTAGTTTCTCCTGTCTGCAACCAGGATGCTATAGGGAAGGAATTTTAGTTGCAACTTAGGATAGGTGGTAGAGCTGAAAAAACAAAGGATCATGACATTTGATATTTAAACAAGGAGGAATAAAAAAATTAAAGATTTTATATACATATGTAGACCATGACACTAAACGTAGTTGCGAAAGGAAGTAAAATAATAGAATTGGGGGCGCCTGGGTGGCTCAGTCAGCTAAGCGTCCAACTCTTGATTTTGGTTCAGGTTGTGAGATTGAGCCCTACATGGAGCCTGCTTAAGATTCTCTCCCTCCTTCTCCCTCTGCCCCTCCCCACTCACACGAACTGTCTCTTAAAAAACAACAAAAAACAAACAACAAAAAAACACCAGAACAATTGAATTGATGGAATTTGTGTGTAAAAATTTTTAAAAAAAGAATAAATGTTACAGTATTTCAAAGTAAAGAGTCTGTAGCTAGTGGTTCGGAGGAAGGGGTTTCAGATAGTATCCAGAAAAGCATAAGGCAATAATAACAGGCTAAATTGATAACATAAAAAAATTGACAAAGACACATGAAAATAAGCAAATTTCCATTAAAAATAAATTAAAATTTGAATATAGACAAATATTAAGCGGTTTTATTTTGAAAGATAAACAGGAAACCCTTTTGTTATTAAATATAGATTACAAATATTTACCAGAAATATTATCACAATTTCTGATAAAAATAGTGAAGTTCATGATACTCAGAGTACATTGATTGACCATAATTTTTTTTTAAATAGCTGAATGCCAGGTAACCTGGAAAGGAAATGAGAATAGGCAGAGCACAGAAGTTTTTTTAGGGCAGTAAAACTAGTCTGCATGATAAGGATGGATACATGTCATTATACATTTGTCCAAACCCGCAGAATGTGAAACACCAAGAGTGAACCCTAATGTACACTATGGATGTTGGGGGATTATGATGTGTCAATGTGTGTTCATCAATTGTAACACGTGTACCACTCTATTGGGGAAAGCTGATAATGTGGGAGCCTATGCACATGTGGGATCAGGGCGTATACGGGAAGTCTCTGTAACTTCCTTGCAATTTGCTATGAACCTAAAACTGCTCTTAAAAAATAGTCTTGGGGTGGGGGAGAAACAAGAAAAATGCCAAGGCTGGGAAGAATACAGTTTGAACAACAAAAGCACTAAATACATAAGAAAATAAAATATCGATGATGATTACCAAAGAACATTAATTACACTACTCACACAATGGATAAAAAGGCAGATAAAATCCAAAAGGAAAAGGCTAATATCAAGGCTGCCCATGTTTCACTGGATTTTTCATGAAAATCTGTGGGAAAAATGCTATTAAATTCATAGAGTCAGAGATTGTTAAGAGAGTCTGGAAAGGAGTTTCAAGGCTTCTAAGTCCAACCTTTATATTTTAATGATAAAGACCTAGAAGTGCAATGACTTGCCTGAAATGACAATGTGTAGGACTCTAGCTGGATGCTTTCATTTCAATATAATACCATTTCCAAAAGGGAGTCATGATGGCACAATTCAAGCTGAAGTGAGTTCTAGCCCAGGTACATCAAGTATTGAAGGAGACAAAGTCTTCAAATATCCTACGAGAATCCCAAAGATGCTATACAAAAGGTAATGGAATGATGTGGAAAAGGAAATTGAAGATATAGTATATTGATAAAAATTACTAGTATATTCAGTATAGAGGAAGAAGGTGAAAAAAAGCAATTGGAAAGTGAATTAAAAAAAAAAAAAAGGAAGGAAAAACCAACCTGTAAAGGGATAGAAGCCAATCAGAAACAAGAGAATCTGATCAAGTAATCTCCAGGGCCAAAATTCTATTTTGGAATAGCGGAAGAGCAGAATGTCTAACTACGTAAAATCAGAGTAAGAAGAAAAGTAGAACTCATTATAGAAAGGAAGAAAATAAAACAGATAAAGGTACAACATTAAAACTTTGAGTGTAGTTGTTTTTAAGTAACTAGTAAGTAATGTCTGCAAATTTAATTGGCTTTATGGTATGAAATCAATTTTAATATTCATAGTATCTCTATAATATAGGTCATTTTTTAAAAATTCATGAAAAGAAAAATACATGTAAAAATGTTTTCATAGGTTAAAAAATTACTGGGTTATTCAATGCCACATTTCTTAGATACTAAATTATATATTTTTTTCAAATGTCAATGTTTCTGAAATTGGGGTGCCTTTTATTGTATATATTTACTATACCATTTCCTTTTCTGCCTGAAAAACTACTGAATTGATGCTTCCACTTACAGTCCATGGCATTTCTAAATCAGGGAAATGAAGAATAGCATTCTCTCTTAAAGATGGAACTCACATGCACAATAGGAGAGAACCCCGAGCACCCGCACCTACCCTGGCTCTGGCGTCGACAAGGGCACCATTTCTCAGTAGGCATCGGACCACTTCGACCTGCCCTGCCCGGGCTGCCATGTGCAATGCAGTCTCCCCACGCTGCCAAGAAACAAAGCTCATTGAGTCATAAGGAAACCCACTGCTCTGTATGGTAAAGGATAAAAATGTGCCTTTTTGTGAAATTCAGCAATCAATCCAAAGGTTTAGGAAATCTATGAAAAGGCGTAATTATTTCATAATTATTTAGTCTGGAAAAATACAGTTTTGTATCTTCTCCATCTTCATAAGGACAAAACACATGTTTATTTCATTTCTTTTCAGTCCACGGACTTACCCAAATATCCAGCATACCCTGAGGTTTAACCTCATAGTCAATCTGGCATAACTTAAACTGCTTTAGGTGATATGAAGTCCTCTTTTAGCCTTCAAACCTAAAATCAGTCATCGTCACATTTGACTATGTGATAACAACTTGATCCCATTTTTAAGGAGAAACTCTAGATGCCGAAGATCAGGTCAACACAGTGCAAAAAAATCATGTCATTTGTACCATACATAAGTCATTCCTTTTCAGAATTCAAAGTTTACCTCTGAAATAAACTATTTCACATTGGATTTGTCTTTGTGATATAAGGCTAGACAATGACTGTTTACATAAGAAATTTGATTTGCCCAGGATGTCCCCCTATTATTAATGATCATATTCAATTATAGACAGTAATTTGAGAGAACTACCAAGAGATGAGTAAAGCATCTGTTAACAGTGTCATGTGTTGAGGTGGGCAGCCCTGGGCATCAGGTCATTCCTCAGGTATCTTCGTGCCACATCAAGATACGGCACACTGATCAGGAAATGGTAGCTTAAGCTGTAGCATGAAGGATGATGGTTAGATGAAAGAAATTTTGTCATTGAGAAGCCTGTTAATTACTGCCTGTAAGAGAGAAGGTTTTTGGTTTTGTTTTAATCAACGTATTTTAAACCCCATGTAGTTCTGAAGAAGGCAGGGGTTCATTCTTCCATGCAATTTTACAGTTATAAAAAAAAAAAAAACAAGACACTGGAACAGAAATGATTACTTCTAGTCAACACAACTATTCTAGAAAATAAAGCTTATTTCAACCAAGTAAAGTAAACCGTTCCAAATCAGCTAAATTGATCTTGAAGTTAGTTGTGGTAATTGGATACTTCTAATTCCAGTAAATAATTTCTTCTGATTCCTTGCACAACTTAAGTTTGGTACATAGCTCATAGGTAATTTTTTTCCTAGTATCTGAGACTCATTCCTTATGAAGTTATGAAAAATTCATTTCAAATGATTTAATTTTGAAAGCATTAAACTGGACGTCTAATATTTTTTTCTTTTTTGTTGATAATTCATTTATCCTCTAATGGCCTTGTTTAATGATGACATGTTTTGACTTTTGCAAAGTAAATATATCTGGAGTGTGTTGGCTTATAAAAATCACATTACTGGAGTAGCAATATTTGTCTTCAACCTTTGGGTATATGGCAAGATTTTTCCTCTTTGAACAACCATGATTTCTAACTTGTTTTCTATATCACTTAAAACCTGTCTCTAAATAGATGAAGTTAAGGTGTAACTATATGACAACAAAAAGCCCTCAAATCCTTACTCTAAGTCTTATAGAAGTATAGCAATTTTACTGAATTTTGCTAATTGCTAATAAAGACAAAAATAAATTTCTTTATAAGAAGTTAAGTCAAAGAGGCATCATGAGTACCTAGTTAATGATAGATTCATTATGTTTAGTTTACAAGCCAAACTTTATCAATAAAGGGTTTTTACAATGTAAAATGTTTTCAACACTAGTCTTAATATTTCCAGTATCCTTATTATATACTTGGAATGAGTTATTTTTATGCTATTTATACATTTGAAATCAATGAGTTAGATATAAAACCTAATCTAAAGTATTAAACATTATAGTCAAAGTTATATATATCTGTATACACACATACATCTCTCCGATTTAAAGCAATGGTCTTGTTCAATCTTATTTAATGACTCTGGGGTAATTGATTTTTATTGTAAATTGTCCTTACCCTTTTATATTTATATTACCCTTGTTTATATATAATTATAAATAAAAAATGAAAGATATATTATAATGATATAAAATATATATAAAGATATTTTAGTAACTTCCATTTCTTGATTGTTGAGCACCTTGTCTTACTCAACACCCTTGTTTTCTTTAGCTTAAGCTCTTTCACTTAAGTATTGGGGGAAATTTTAAACATGATATGAAGTGAGAACTTAGCCATGAGTCCATTGATTTTTATATGAGAAAACTTGGTAATACCTCACACTGTACTCTAGACAGCCCCAAGAGTGCTTAGTTTTCTACTCCCATGGTTGTCAATGAATACTTTGGATTATGGATGTATTACAACTGGTAGGTCAGCTTTCTAGGTTTTAGAGTGCATTTGTGAGCTTTCCGGAAGGGAAGCTTTGCAGTAATAATATCTGCACATGATTGAGTTATTGGTACATCTCACACTTGGAGTGAATTTTGAGACAAAAACAAGACTGGCAAGAGAATGGGTATGCTCACATCCAAAGCAGGTACTAAATTTCATGCCCCTCTTCTCAGTTGTTAAAACTGATTTTGCCAACAGCTACATTGACTTCCACTTTGGCTGCATCAGTTGGAAAGCATCAAAGCACAACAGACAGCATTGCATTCAAAAATGCAACATGATTTCAGGCAACACACAAAGGCTCCAAAGGTGGGGTACTTTGGGGTCAGGAAATGACCAACTCTGACACAGCAAGCAGGCAGTAAGTGTTCACACAGTTTCTTAATCAACCTGCACAGAGTTTTGGATCCAGTGGCTATATCCTCATGTCCTGAGAATGTACAAGTTCATAGGCATCCCACTGCTAGAGATAAATTAAATTCCTCTAAATGTAGGGTTGCCAGATTTAGCAAACAAAAATACAGGATGACCAGTTAAATTTTAATTCCAGACAAACAATGAATAATTATTTTAGTATAAATATGTCTCAACTACTGCACAAGACATACTTATACAAAAAAAAATTTGTCATTTATCTGAAATTCAGATTTAACTGGGAGTCCTGTATTTTATCTGGCAACCCTATATATCTACATGATATCTGCTCCCTGAAGAACATATAATACAAAAATAAAAATGATCAAACAAAAAACAATGAGGAAATATCTTGAGGAGAGGATTACATTAGCAAGTGCCTCTCAAGTATTTGTTTTGAGGGGACTGAAGAGAAAGAATGTGTAATAGACAAATGAGAAGATAAAACAAAGTGAACTTTATAATGAGTGGTAGGTAGAAGTTAAGTTTGATAAAGCAATTACGAAATTTGGGAGTCTTTACGAACCTAGAGGATGTAAACGTTTTTATCGTTTTAATTGATATTTTATTTATCTTAATTTTAAAATCTACAGGTGGCCTATATTGCACTTTTTTTTGCAGAATGGGGAGCATATGAATATGGAGTAAATCCATAACCATCAAATGATTTGGAATTGGCCAGTTAAAAGCCAAGTTAAGAGTGGCCACAGAATCACGCAACCATTTCATGTGGATTTTCTTTAATGATTGTACCAAATTCTCCCGTCAAAAATATTAACCTAGGGGATTTCAATAAAGTATCAGATAGAATATTCTTGTATATGTTACTGTTATAATATGATAACATAATTTAACACAGTATCACCATTGCACCTTGATCCTGAAGGCAATGAAATACAAATAAGGAAAATACAGTATAGTGGGAAAGTATACAGAGTACTTTTCTTCAAAGTTACTAGTTCGTACAGCTATCAGTTTAAAAAAGAGATGTGGTCATCATCTCTGCACAGAAAAAGGATGATGTTGATTTCTTTTAAAGTTCTAAGAAGTGACTAGAAGTTCAACTCAAACCGGTATGTTTTGAAATTACTCTTATCCTTAATGGAGTCATTAAAGATTAGTGTATAATAATAATCCTTTAGGATCCATAAGCTATAATTAGGGAAACAAACAGAATATATTTCAATTATTTAATGGTTTTATGCTCCAATTGTGAATTATATAGAGAGTATTAAATAATACTTAAACCAGATAAGTTAATTTCACATGGATCTTGTCCATGTATCAGAAACTTTAGCACAGAAACAATGTGTAAAATGCAAAGAAATGAGAATGTGAGAGGGAATACAAATGAAAAGTGACATTGAACATTCTGTTTCACAACTCACTTGGAATGATACACCAAAATTTAACAATAGTCAATCACTTGCTTTTGAAAATATGACTCAATAATAAGCACTGATGTTTATTTGGGGAGAGTTATTTCTATTGCATACTTAAAAAAAAATCTCAATATTCCAGTTGTCCCTGTTGAGCTTCAAATACATGACTATATCTTGTGCACAGTAAGGAGAAAATTTGCATTAAATGATCAAAGTTTAAGGGAGCAGACTCCAAGAAAATGAAAGAAATAATAAGGAAGTTGGAAGTAAAAATCCTAATTTAAATTAGGTAGAAGAATTCTGGGATATCCAGTAGTTACTGGAAGAATAAAAGTTGTCTGGAGACTAACATTCATTTCAAGATATAGGAAAAAGTTTCAATGGCATAATTATTTCAGGTAAGAGAGGACTCCATCCACTCTAGCCAACAAAATCAAATCAAAATGAAAAATCAAGGTTAGAAAATGAAAAATCCATGTAATTGAAGGAGAGAGAATTTGGTATCAAATAGAAATCCCTCCTATGGGTCTATCTCTGGTTAACCATTTGCTATGATTGATGGTGGTACTGACTTGACATGTTAATCAAAATTACCAGGAATACAATTCACTCAAGCAACTGGAATGAGTCCTTCGGATTTTATTCCAACCAATCCTTCATTCAAAATGTATCTTGTTTTCATAAATGTATTTCAGATGCATGTTTAATCCATCTGCACCAGGGAGCTGAAACAGCTTCCCCAACTCCCATTTTGTTTTCCTGACCCGTTTCTTCTCAGCGAAGTTCTAGTGAGTACTTCAGTAACCTGGGATCATGGAGGCTCTGCTCAAAGCTCAGCCGCTCGCTTTGATGACATACACACAAACATCCCTACAAACAGCCATACTCTCTCTTCCTCTCGCTCTTTCTCCCTGTGGTTATTCTGACCCAAGCCATACTCACAATGTTAGTGACATCTGGAGAGGCTCCGTTCTGCAGCAGAAGGAGGACAATGTTCAAGTGGCCCATGAAGGCAGCCACATGTATTGGTGTGAGGCCAGACTGCGAAACAAAGCAACAGCAGTTTTACTCCTCTGCACCGGTGGGGGCTTTGGGGACTTCTTCAGATAAGTAAGACTTGAGTGAAGAGGACAGAGGATGGGCGACAGGAAGGGGAAGAAGGAGTAGGAGAAGGAATGTTTCGGGACAAGCTGAAACATTGTTCTACCTCTGTGATAGCTTGGATTGAAGCCCCATATTTCACCAGCAGTTCCATGACTTTGATGCGGTTTTTCTTGCAGGCAATGTGCAGTGGAGTAAAACCATTCTGTGCAAAAGACAATCAAGTTAGTTGAAAACATGCAGAAACGATCCTCACACAACTCCATGCGGGCACATTGCAGGCAATAATGTTACATTCACGTAATGTTAACCATTTCTTCTGATGCTGTAGGTGCTGGGATTTGGAAAGAAAAGTGGGGGTGCGTTCCTGTAGGCACTGAACTTGGCTGCTATGTGGTGGGCCTGTATATAATTCTTTTTGTGTGGTTATCAAGAAAAATAGAAGTAAAGAAAACTACATGGGCCTGCTCTGCAAAGAAGGAAAACTCGGGGGGCAATGATACTTTAGAAGTTCTAAGGTGTTTTCAAGTATACTGATGGGTTGGGTAATGAAATGGCTTGAAGGTACATGGAAGATAAGCATGTATGTATCTGATGAAAGACCATTTCTTAAAGCCTACAAACTGTTGGTCTGTTTTACTTCAACACCCTACGGCCATGACAATAAATGTTTCGACAATAAATGTTTCAGCGTTGCTACCATTTTCTTCAGGGAGGGGGTGTTGTAAATGAGCAGAAATCATTATTTACATTAATAATTTTTCATATTCAGAAGTTATATATCTTCCATTAAGAATTTTTCATAAGGAATTGTTGTATATTACCAGAAATCACTATGCTGATAATATTTGACATCCAGAAGTTACATTTCTTATGTTAAAAAGTTTTTATAACAAATGCCAATCAGATACATTTTATTTTATAAAAATGTGATTATTGGGTGGGTGGCTCAGTCGTTAAGCGTCTGCCTTCAGCTCAGGTCATGATCCCAGGGTCCTGGGATCGAGCCCCGCATCGGGCTCCCTGCTCCGCGGGAAGCCTGCTTCTCCCTCTCCCACTCCCCCTGCTTGTGTTCCTTCTCTCGCTCTCTCTCTGTCAGATAAATAAATAAAATCTTAAAAAAAAAAAAAAAACATGATTATTAAGGTCCTGAATATTTTCAGGAGAATTTCTGGAATAACTGGAAGAGGATATCTCTCAGAGGCAAAGGAATGTGGAGAAGTTTCTAAGACATTTTTAACTTTCCAAACCAGGCAATGTATAGGAATTGGGGACAATTATATAGAAATTTGTTAACATGCTTAATCCTTATGTGTAAGTATTAAATTTTTATTTGAACAATGATCCCTACATATAGAATAGTTATACCTATTCTGCCAGTTAGTTATTTTGCTTGTCCCAGTGGGGACTGATCATCAGTCAATATTTTTCTGTACTTCACAGTTCTCACGAAAGCATATTGTCTTACTTAACCTAATGACTTACTACTCTTCACAATGTTTGTTTAGTCATTTCCTGTTTATGAGCTATGTAGTAAGCCAAAAATGTATAGCACTCAAATGATTTTTAATTATGAGATTGTAATGTTTTATAAGCTTATTGACCACTACCCAGTTGAAAATGAGTATTTTCCTCCTTATGAGAAAATAAGTATCCTCTCATAATTACATATAACCCTAAAAGTATATTTGCTTCCTGGGCAATAAGGAATAAATGGATTTCAATGGAAAATTTTCTAATAAAACTAAGATTTATTATTTAATAATTCTTATGGCATTCTCTCATTTTAAATATTGTCTGAAGACTAATTTAAAGCAGCATTTACCATGTAAATGTATAGGATAAAACAATTGCTTTTAGTTTGAGAATTAGGAAACAAGAGCATAAATTAGTACATGCCTAATACTTCCAATGATTATTGTTAGAATGTAAGTGAAGCAAGGAAGATTTATTCAATATTAGACCTTGGGAAATACAGAGGCTGCTCTAGGGACAGCCTCATGTAGATTTCTCTTGAGCAATTCCTGGAATAATTTATATAAAATGCTTCCCAGAGCAGTAAGATGCTAAGCATCACTTTTACATTAGACTGTGTTTAGGGAATCAGGTCAATAAGGACATTCTCTAAGTGAACTCTATACAGGCTTACATTTTATCTTACATGGTCAAATCTATTCAGCACTTTAAAACCTTTTTTTTTCCAAATAGAGATTAATGACATTCAACTTTTTCACACTTTTATTCTGATTCTATATAGAGGTGTTTAGAATTTATTTTATGATTTCCTATTTTCAACTTCTATTTTCCATTTAAAATTGCTAATCACTCCAGAGGTTTCATATCTATCTGCAGCTCGCTAGTTGTGGAAATGTTACCTTGGTGTTTTCCTAAATCTGTCCTTGCTCACCATCATTTAATAGCAAACTGTGAAGGCATGAAGTAGGCAGGCTACTTGTGGGAGGTAACGAACTTAGCAGAATTAACTACAGATCTGTAACCATGCTTTGCTGGTGTGCCATTGGTCAATCACTGTGGTATACTTGTCCCATCTATATGCTGTTAATGTGGACTAGGCCAGGTTTACCAGGGCTCTGGCGTTTGGATTGGCTCTCTTGTCCAGAAGGAGTTTGGTCACACGGTAGTGGCCACAGTGTGCAGCAACGTGGAGGGCTGTCAGGTAGTCTAGGGTGACATCATCAACGGGCGCCTTGTGCTGTAACAGGTGCTTCACACATTCCACGTGGTCCCCCTGTGCAGCCATATGAAGTGGAGACAGCCCATTCTGCACATCAAAACAAAATGAAACCAAGTCCACATTTCAGCCATGACTTCCAGGTTGTAAAACACAGCAAAGTCAATTCTTGATTATCTGGCACAGTTGGTAGCAGAGGAAAAAATAATCTCCATTTGACATCTACATGTACAGTGGATTATGTGGGGCACCGAGGGAAGCTAAGAGACCATTTAATTTCATAATTATGCTATTCTTAGGCAAAAACACAAATTAATATACCTTTTGTGAATAAATACATAGTATTGTGTGACAATTCAGATGGATCTCACAATTATTAAGGCAATATTAGATATATAAAACAAGTGATAGCCGAGGCTTAAATTATTTGTATTCAATTCCATTCAATTAGTCTCTCTGCAAGAGTTTCTTTACTTCTAAATGGAGGAGGGTGAAGATGAAGGAGGAGCAAGTGGGTGCATGAGGGAAAGAAAGATATTTTGAGCATCTCTTAGATCCATGCTGCTCTGAAATTCTATGCTTCCTTTTTCCTATCATGAGACATGAATCGGACTTGGAGAAAGCAGTCAGGTAAGAGTTAGAAAAGTGTGAGGCAAATTTAGACTATGTGTCCCAACTTTTAAACTTTGAGGATAATATAATTTTATCCTCAGCGATACTGCCCAAAACAGCTCTAGTCTTAATTCTTAGAGAAGGTCAATAGCAGGGACACAAGATGGTAGGGTTGGGGCGCCTGGGTGGCTCAGTCGTTAAGCGTCTGCCTTGGGCTCAGGTCATGATCCCAGGGTCCTGGGATCGAGCCCCGCGTCAGGCTCCTTGCTCAGCAGGAAGCCTGCTTCTCCCTTTCGCACTCCCCCTGCTCGTGTTCCCTCTCTCACTCTCTCTCTCTGTCAAATGAATAAATAAAAATCTTTAAAAATAATAAAAAAAACAAGATGGCAGGGTAACTCACTGAGGATTATCAGTCTAGGTAAGACTCTTATTTTTTAAAGTTAAATAATTAAGCTGATAAGAAAAAAATATGTAAAATTAGGGAAGAAACTAAATTGGAAAACATTTGCCCATTTAAATGAGTGGAATATGGTCTTTTCTTAATAATCCATGCAAATAATGCAAATATAGTCTCTAGGAAGTAATTGTTGTCCATGTGTCCAGCTTGGCAGTCATTACATTCAAAGAAGCAAAAACTGTGTCTGGATAAAAAGAAAGAATCTGCCAACGGCCCAGTATTTTCAACAAGGAGTGTGATTTCAACAATGAAGGACAGCTAAAATCAAATACAGCAAAATCTTAATTGTAGTGGTTTGTGGGTGGTAGAAGTACATGTGATTTTGAAATTATTAATACACTTTCTTGGTTTTTGAAATACTCTTCACTCATAATTATTGCTTTTATATTTAAAAAAATTCATAAAATGAACTGAGAAAGAACAGCAGGTTGATAAGAAGATATTTATGCATTGGGGGAAGATAGTATAAGGGCAAAGTGTAGAAGAAATTCAGGCCTTGGCAATGTTTGGAGGGTTGCGTGGCATGTTTCTCTGATATTCTATCAAACTTTAATGTTGTTTGATCCACTTAAAAGTTATGTGGAAAATAAAATCTCCACCATTTAATTCTTTGTTACATTTTACAAATATTTGCTAAGCACCTACTCAAACCCTAATCAAGTACTAAGGATACAACAGGGAACACAACAGACAGGGAACCCCTGTCTTCATTGAGGGTCACATTTTGGGTAGTAGTCAGACAATTCAAAAAGAATAAGAATTAAAATAGATAGTATGTTAGAAGGCCACCAGTGTGAAGAAGAAAACTAGAGCATAGGATGGCCAAGGGAGTTTGTGTATATGAGTGCTTTATGGATAGGCTAGCCAGAAATGGCCCCACTGAGAAGGTAAGTTTTAATGAAAGACATGATGACAGTAAGAAAGCAGGTCCTTGCTGATCTGGGGGGAGAACATTTGAGGGTGAGGAAAAGCAAAGACAAGCATGTCATGTTGAGACCACACCAGCATGACTGATGAAGAGTATGGAGGAGAATGAAGCTGAAGGCGAATGAATAAGAGGGGTGAATAAGGAAGGGAACTCAGGTAACAGACCTGCTAGTTTGAATAGAGTCTTTGACTTACACCCTGAGTGAGATGGGGGGCTTGTGGAAGGTATAGGACAACAGGATTACTCTGGTTTCTGTTGAGAATATACTGAACAGGGTTAAAAGAGAAAAAGGGGGACAATTAGAGCCTCTTGCAATCATCCAGGTAGGGTTGATGGTAAGCAGGACCAGGGCGGTGTAATGAGACTGTTGAGAAGTTGCTGAATTATGAGATATTTTGAAGGAAGATGTGACAAGGTTTAGTGACAGGCTATGAAGGGAGAGAAGAGCCAAGCACTGCATGAAGTATTTGACCTGAGAAACTGAAAGAATGGGATGGCCATTATTTGAGATAAGACTACAAGGGGATTAGAAATAGGGGTGGGGAAAATATCAGCAGCTGAGTTTTGAACTTACTAAATTGGAGATGCACAGTAAACATCTATGCAGCAATGGTGAGTTGACATCTACAATATAGAATTCTGGAGCTACAGAGTTGTGTGTCATCAGTGTATAAGTAGTATTTAAAGACAAAACTGGATGAGATTTCTTAGTGGGTACAGATAAACAAATACACAAAGAGTGAGCTCTGGGGGTTCTAACATTCAGAGATCTGGGAGTGAAGAGGGAACGGGAAAGGAGACTGAGCAGAAGCAAAGACAGAGGGATGTAATTTATTTGAGAAGGCAAATAAGGAAAGGAAAGTGTTTTGAGAAGGGAGGAGCAAGCAACTGTGTCAGATGATAGCAATAGGAGAGAACGTAGACTGGGCTGAAACATGTAACTGGGTAGATAGGAAGATAGGAGTCTGTAGAAATTCTCTCCTGATCGCTTCAATTTTTTCAGTGTTGTGGGAAGTGAAGACAAGGAAAAAAGTCTAAGAAGTCTAAAGAAAGAAAAAAACCGTAGAATAATAAGGTAGCAGGGAACGAGAATAAATACACTTGGGAAATACACTGATTGTCAGGCAGCATTAAAGGCCAACTTGAGGTTAGCAATCATGAATTTAAAGTGAGCCCAGGCAGTATGGTTGGGTGTTTTCAGCCACCACACTCAGCTGCAAGAATGTGAGTTGGATTTAATCAGGGTAAAATATAGTGAGTGAGTATGAGTATGTCAGGGAGTGGTATGAATAGTTCTGTCGGGCAGAGGCGAGGGCATAAGGTGAATAAGGGATAATAAAACAATGGCTGATGGACTCAGGAGAATAAACACATTTCTGGAGTTGGGGTCCCAGAGAAAGGGGGCTGAAACATAGAAGCAGTGCTTGGAGAGGCAGAGGTTAGAACAGAAATTCCAGAGGGTTTACAGCTACCAAACTGAGAGGCCAACTAGAAAGATTATCTACTGCCCTAAGATCATTAAAGTCGTCATGAATTAGAATAGGGGTTGTAGAGAAGAGTCATAGTTGGCCATTTTCAAAAAATGAGGTAGAGTGACAACTAGATAGATGAATATTTGCTTCAGGAAGGAATAATGGATGATTCAAAACTGGGAGTTTTTATGGAAGGGGAAGAATAGTCTGGCATTAGATGCTCATTCCACTCACAGGCTAAAATGGTATCACCTCACCAACCTGGTTAGTTCATCTTCTCTGTGGTCTTTACCCTGAACATAGCTCTACTTTTTGTTATTATCTCCTTATCTGTCTTACCCACTCAATGTCGAGCTTCTTGAACAAACAGATTGTGTATCATTTATCTTCATAGTTCCTTAGTGATCAGAACCCTGCCTCGTGCATTGTAGCTACTTACTATGATAGCTTTGTCTAAATTTTTGTTGTATTAAGGATGAATGACTGAATACAAGTGGATATAATCATGCAGCCACAGACATTTTATGCTAGATCCTTACATATACATGACATTTGATATTATAAGAAGGCCAGTAAAAAAATTTCATCTACGTAATCCATTGTCTTCATTAGTGACATGACAATTATAGGTGAACTCTGTAGATAAGATTATTTTATAGTTTGTGGGAGAGCAAATCTGCCTATTCTCAATTTGATAGATGCTTTTTATTGGTTGTAACATGACTGGTGAAATTTTGTTATTTCCATTTAAATTTCAATCAGTTTACTCAACAAAACTTTCTACAGGGGCAGCTGGGTGGCTCAGTCGGTTAAGCGTCTGCCTTCGACTCAGGTCATGATCTCAGCATTGAGCCCCATGTGGGGCTCGGCGGGAAGCCTGCTTCTCCCTCTCTCTCTGCTCCTCACCACCCCCCCTCATGCTCATTCTCTCTCTCTCTCTCAAATAAATAAATAAAATCTTTTTAAAAAAAACTCTCTACAATTATCTCTGCATTACTCAGCCCAAAATGTCACATTTTAAAGATAAAACTCTACAACACTCATGGTATCAGTATAAGAATGAAAATAATACATCCAATTTGAAGTCACCAGTTCATGGCCTGTAGAGCACATTCTACAAATATTTTAAATGTGTGGGCTGGTTTTTGCTCCAAATAGTTTCAAATAAATATTCAATTAAAGTGTTAAATTGAAAAAGATTTGCTGATGTTGGCTGTCTTATTTTTCTCAAGCTTACTCTAGTTAGAGCATCAGTTGATACCAACCCTGCTCGGGGGTTATAGGAGAGGTGAAATACAGAGAAAATGTAAGAAGTGTCCTTTGTCTAAATTTTTGTTGTATTGAGGATCTGAGGGTTGCTGCATATCCCATTAAACAGTTCTGTGCGATTATCGTTTATTTGTGTCCCCTGATATTTTTTGGCAACCCAAAGTATTGCTAGAAACTGGGGACTTGTACAGTAATAATGCTTGTAAAATATATTTTATAATGAAAACCTCCAACAAATCAGCTCCCGGTGGGGTTTTCAGTTAAGAGTTTTCTTCATGGTTGAGCATACTGATGACATAAGACAAGAAATGCTAGATGTACTGAGTCACAGAGAACATTATGCTTGTTTAATGGTTCTTTGTAGATGGCCTATCCTAAATTGTGCTTTCCATACCGCCTACTAATCCTAAATATAATCATCCAACACCACTGGTAAGTAATTCTTTTTACTAGTATTGCCTAAGAGATAAAGACTGGAGAGCTAAAAGACTATCTTGTATTGCTAATTGTGCTACTTTAAAAGACAACTTTATATGTATTTTACAGCATCTTAGAGAATCATAAAAGTACAAACCTATAGAATGTAAGAAATATTCTCATTTATATATAATACACTCATTTACATATAATAGAAATTACATATAATAGAAATATATTCAAATGTCCACCTGTAGCAAGAGTAGCAGATAAAAACATAGGAAGAACCTGAAGGTATACAATCAATACCTAATTTTAAGTTTAAATTTGTTAATTTTAAATAATTTTCGAACAGTTTGATATATATTCCTCATTCGTAGCACACAATTATTGAGGAACTAGAAAACGTTGGACTGATGCTTTGATTTCAAGAAGAACAGAGATTTTCAGAAGACTGGTTTAAAGAGTTCTTTAGATCCCATCTTACCCCTAATAACCCACCTTAGTCCTTGCCAGCAAGGGAGCACCCCGTTCCAGCAGAAGCTCTACCACTTGGTCATGCCCACTTCTTGCAGCACAGTGAAGGGGTGTCAACCCATCCTGCCAAAAGAATTAAAGAATTAAGCCGGAGTTAACAACAACAACAAAAAAATCAAGATTGTTTCTTTTGCCACTTCAAAGAGATTTCCTGAACTCATTCCTACTGCCTCAATAGATCAGTAACAGAATTGCTACTAGTTAAATGACAGAGGAGAGTGAGAGAGAAAACAAGACAGTTAGAGATCTAGACAGAGAGCAAGACAGAGAAAAAGAAAGATACGGATGAAATGGAGAGGGAGAGGGCAAGAGAAATCTCACGTGCGGAAGTTCAATGTAAAACATGCTGCTGGTCCTGTGTTTTCATACTCAGGAAGATGGAAAAGTGGAGTTTGTTGTAATTGTTGAATTTGAAAGCCCTACTTGCTTGGAACCACAACCCCGAGATTATATCATTAAACTGTTTTCATTTTGATTGTCCTAATACAACTTTTACCCCCCAAATTCTTCTTAATCTAATTTGTCCATCTTTGATCTCTTGAATTGTCACTATTTTTACAAATCCTCCTAAAACACTCCCTGTTGCTCATAGACATTTTTTTCACATTCTTCTAAAGGTTTCCACATATATTTTTCAATACAAACTACATAATTATTTCTCAGAGATAAAACTGGCTATTAACCATAATAGCACTAAAATGGTGTCAAACAAAATTATGGCCCAACTCTACGTTATGTTATTTATACAACTTTCTGACCTTGATATATCTCAGGTAGTTTCTGATTCCAGAGCAATCCTCAAATTCCCTCTGTCTTTTGGATTTTATTTCTCTTTAGGGTGGCATGGTCAGAAAGGAGAGTGGGTGGGTAATATCAGGCAAAATGTAACAATGGGCAATAAGTGAGAGAGAAAATGAAATTCTGAGTACAGAAATTAGCTAAAGATTTCAAGCTTACGGGAAAAAAGGTGGTCCTAGGGAAAGATGTTGAGAAGGTAGGTAGCAGTCAGAGAAAATGAGGGATGGTGAGCAGTTAAGAGGACTTCAAAAAGCTTCTGATTTATCCAGAACTCTAATAGCCTATCTTTTGTGTCTCTGTTACAACACTCTTCCTGTCCCAACATTCTGGGATTTCTACGCTAGGTATCTTCCCTTTACCCTCCAGATCCATGCATTACCTTTCTGTCCTCTGCTCCAAGTCTGACAGAAAAAGCTCTCTAGATCATAGGAGGGGGCTACCTTGCCCTCTGGCTTCTGGTTGGGTATGGGAAACGCAGCAAGACAGGGAAGCCACTCTGCAGAGGATCTCCTTAGCCTGGCTGTGTCTCTTTACCAAAGGTTATGCTCCATCCAAAGCAGCCTCGGCCATCCAGCTCTCTCCTTTGAAGTTCTGGTATCCTCCCTCTCACCTTTCAGGCCTGGGGTTGGTAATGAGCCCTGCTGTTGCTAGCTCCAGGGAGACTATACTATCCCTTGTGCCTTCCCTACAGTCCACCCACAATGTTAGAAATAGATCCTTTAGATAGATTTATCTATCCTTTAGATAGATTTGATCATATTCAAATGATCAAATGTGAACGTGCTTTCTGTTTTCGGCTAGGACCTCGAGTTAGAATGATACTTTGCTTTGTTAAATCTACTTAGCTAGTACTAAGATACGGAATATCCAAAATAGACCTTGCAATTTGGGATATGTAGGAATTAGCATGAAAAGACTGCCTTTCCAGGAAAAAAAAAAGCTATTTAACTACTGTAGTTGGGATGCTGAGTTATTTTAAAGTTTGCCAGAGAGAGGCCTAAAAAAAGAAACTGTGCAGGCAAAGTGATTAAGATGATTATGCTTTTGTATCTTGATAGCATACTTTGTGGTGGAAGTACAGAGCATTTGTTGCTATTTAAGTTATATAACTATTAGATATAGCTTGACTTCTCAATCAGATTCTTGGTGGGGGCTTCATGGAGAAATAGAGTTTGAGAAATCCAACATCTCGAATGAAGGCATTACATGCAATGGTCCAGCATTTGGGCTCTGGAATCACAGAGATTCAGGCGAGTCTCAGGTCAGCCACCATGGATGATTCTTTCTGAGGCTCAGCTTCACAATGTATAAATGGGGTAATTTTTCTTATCCCATTCAACTCATGACCTTGTTTGAAAGATGAGGGGACTCTGCCTTAAATCATTTTTAGAAAAGGTATTGTTTTTCTATGGAATACATGAAAGATTCATTGTGTAATCATGTTGAAACCTTCAAATACTCTCAGAATAACAATAGGAAAATATGAAGAACACTTAAATAAATCCATAAGAACATCAAAGAGTAATAAGGATTACATTGATACTAAATCTGATGTCATTTATCTGCCCTTATAAAGGATATGGGAATTATATCAAATTCAATTTTCCCAACATGCTCAATCTGAATAGATCTTAAATATTTTCTGTAAGTACAGTATCTCATTTTTGCCAAAAAAAAATCTTTTTTAAAAAAATATTTTATTCATTTGACAGAGAGAGAGAGAGAGCAGGAACACAAGCAGGGGGAGTGGGAGAGGAAGAAGCAGGCTTCCTGCCGAGCAGGGAGCCCAATGCGGGGCTCGATCCCAGGACCCTGGAATCATGATCTGAGCTGAAGGCAGACGCTTAACGACTGAGCCACCCAGGTGCCCCCCCCAAAAGAGTCTTATCAAGGTTTTGTATTCAAGGACTTTTTTTACTTAATTTTTTTTATTAACTCTTAGGGGCAATGATCTGTTCAATATCTTTAACTTAAATACTTAAGACTGTATTTGAAGGTTACTTCCCCCACCCCCCAGAGTACCTTTCCTTGTTTTTTTTTTTCACTAGAATCAGTTCATATCACACTATGATGTTGATAATCCTTAAAAGGTTAGATCAATCAAGAGGAGAGGGACACAACTTTTCCAGCTGGTAATCCACAGCATTAGCTTTTTACAACGATTTCTTTCCTTATCTTTTTCCTTCCTCCCTCTCTGCTTAGATTGTAGATGTTTCCTGAGGTCTGTGTATGAACACAGGCTCTGCTAATTACGACCCCGTGTGTCCTAGGTCAAGTTACATAACTCCTCTGAAAATCATTTTTCCCCTTGGTAGTCTCATTTCTCAAATAAAGACCTCTATATTTTCCTAAAAGCAGTTAATACAGCTTCATAAACTGTTAGGAAGAGGGAATAAAATGATATTTGTAGAGGACTTAGCAGGGTGCCTAGAACATCACGTGCGTATGACAATTGGTAGCCACTATTGTTGCTTTAATTATTGTGATTCCTTTCCCTGATATATTGGATTTTGTTCATCATCTTTTAATGTTTTTGTATACTTGAATTGCTTGCATTGCAACATGTATTTCAATATTTTAGCCTTATATGGAGTATCTCCACATTTAAATAATAAATGCTTAAAAATAAAAAAGAATAATGCTCTTAATAAAACCTGAATTAATATCATTTTTAACTAGCTATAAAGTTTCTGTTTTAACATAAAAATGAGGTTTTTCAGACACCAGAGAACCAGAACTCTAGTGAAAATGTCTCAGTTTCACACTAAATCCTAGTCAATGTGAGAATGTCAATGAGATGCAAAATGTCTCAATGATTGACGAAGTGCTGGTAGAAGTGGGGAAGAAACAGTGGGTAAGATTTTTTATTAATTACCGCTAAGCCTCTACATACTTGCTTTTTTCCAGATAATGAAAACCTTATAAATGAGAAAAATAATGAGAAGATCAAATGGAAAATTCTTGATAGAATATAGTAGATTCAGAATGATTATGACTAATATGATTGCTAGGGGAAACTGAGACCCCTATGATAAAGAAATGAAATAAAAAATATTATTTTTAATTCCTTATCTAGAAGCTCTATTGTACTACCTAAAAAGACGGTCAAAAGTAAATGTAAAATTTTTCTATTTTAAAATATATTTTCAAAAGACAAAAGGAAAAGCTAACCAGATTCCTTTGTTTTAATAATAAAGTATTATACTTCCAGAACTAGCCTCCCAATTCCAGACCACAGCCCTTGATTTCAGTATTACCTCCTACCTGATTTTGTTTTTGGTAAAAAAAGGTATAGGCATATTGGTTAGAGACAGAATTAAAAGAATCCAACTGCTTTTAAAATCCTACTTCTTAGAGATGAGTAAGTACTTTGACTTACATTTAAGGAATGAATGAACAGAATGCCCACACAATGTACAATTATAAAATCTATTTCTGCTTTATAAAATCTTGAATGAAATTCAATTTATTTGTATATCTAAAGACTGCACTGGATGAAGTACAGTCCAAATATTCCCTTCACAGAAGGAACCAAGGCTTACATTTGATTAACTTGCTTAAGAACAATTATTTAATGGCAGAAATAGCATAAGAGTCCATTTCTTTCCATATCTTAGTATTCTTTTTATGAAAATGCACTATTTGGAGTTAGACTTAAATTACATATGCAAATGTATGTAGGCCATGCAAATTAGAACATATTTTACAGAACGAAGCAAATATTGCAATGATCAGTAAAAATAAAATCAATTGCCTCAAAAATGAATGAATACTCCATTAAAATATCAGTAAGAATAATGTGGATCCTTAAGACATTGGCCGAGATAAAATTCTGTTGCATTTACCAAGTGCTTTCTTTCCACTGGTACTCTCAATTATTAGAGAGTCTCAATAGAAACAGAGAAGTGTAAAGGGAGACATTATGTTAGTAATGTACTTAAAAGAAGAGGCACAGAAACTCTTTCCTTTAAACATGAAGAACAAGTAGGCAAAGCATGCAGCATTGTGCATAATTGTTCCAAATTCTGCATACCTACAGCACAGCAAGGGAAAAGGCATGTCAACAAAGCGAAGGGTAAAATCATAAAAAACTCTGATGCAAAGACAGTAGACCGTACAACAAAGATCTTGACAGACAAAGCAAACCACTCCAGAACTCCCACGTGATAATATGACATAGATGTTCTGGACCAAATGTCTTAGAGAAATGAGATTAAGAAAGCAACATCTCCTGAGGTCATTAAAAACCAGAATTTATGGGGGCACCAGGGTGGCTCAGTTGGTTAAGTGTCTAACTCTTGATTTTGGCTGAGGTTATGGTCTCAGGGTCCTAGGATCCAGCCTGGGGTCTGGCTCGGCACTCACCGGGGAGACTGCTTGAGATTCTTGCCCTCCCCCTCCACCCCTCCCCATGCTTGCATGCATGTGCACACATACTCTCTCTCTCAAATAAATAAATAAAATCTTAAAAAAAAAAACAAAAACCAGAATCTATAGCCTGGGACTGATGTAGTCCCCAGATGCCCAAAGATGATAAGGCTTATTAAATAAAAATATTTGCTACCCTCAAGATTTGCAAAGGAACTAGATTTGATCCTTAGTCCTTTGACTATGAGAATATAAAGTCCCAGGATTAAACAAAGTGAAGACAAAATGCATAAGGGACATATCCTATCACTATCTTTTACAGACTTCTCACACCATATATTTCAAAATGTTCACATTATAGGAATGTTTAAAGTTTTGCTGAAGTCTATGCTTAACCAAATCTATTCCAGAGAACGAATACCGAAGTACTAGTTTAATGTTTAAGGAAGTAACTACATATAATTTTATTAACATAATAAATAATTGTGAATAGCTAAGTAATTGACCCACACAACTTTCAAAATGATAAATAATAATATCTAAGAGTTAATTCTCATACAACCATATGAGATAGGTACCAATATCAGCCTAAGTTCAGAGGCGGTAATAAGTAAACTGCCAATATCACAGAGCTAGTAAGTAGTAGAAGTAAATTTGAAATCAGGTAGTCTGCCTTCAGAGGCTGCACTTTGAACAATTATATTCTCCTGTCGATCTTATCATCTATTTGTTGGCAGTATATAAAACTTTGATTTATATTTTACTTAACAAATTTGAAATGAATGACGGGCATGGCCTCTTACCAAATGGGAATGAGTAAAGGTGCAACATAATAACCAGATGCCTTTGTTCCATAAGCATATAGCAGATCTCCTGCTCAGGTCAGTATAGCATAATCACTTAAGAAAAATGATTTAAAAATTGGAAAGTTAGAGGCAAAAGATTATCAACATGTATTCACATATTTTATGTAAAAGCCACACCCTCATAGCATAATGTAGGCTTATGAGTTTGGGTTTTTGAAATGTATAGCTAATAATCAGAGATGCTTCAGCTCCATCTTTCATCTTTGTTCCCCAAAATAAGCAAGGACTTGAAAAACCATCTCATTGAGGGGCTAGCATTCTGTTTCCCCAGCACTTCTCAGCAAATACTAATTCTACCTGACAATGAGAAAACTTTAAATATCGTATGAGATTTAAATCGAATCCAAGAAAGCAATTTCCTTGAAAATACATTGCTTATATTTCGGGACTGGTATTTTAAGGTGCCTGCTTAAAGAATACAAAAAACAAAAATGGTAGGAAATTGAAAGAACAGAGACACTCACCCTAGTTTTGGCATCGATCTGACCACCACGATCCAGTAAGAGCTTCACCATGTTTGTGTTTCCCCTTTTGGAAGCCACATGCAGAGGAGTGATTCCATTCTACACCATGGAAAGACCAAACAAGAGCATGTTGGGTATGACAGGGCATGAGGGTGAAGACTTTGTGTTAGAGGGTACAAAGAAGGCTGTGACCTAAGTGGTAATTTGATTCAAGGTCACTAAAGTTCCAATGTCTTTGATTTTTATGGGACAAAAAAAGCACACAAACCACAAAGCACTATAGTTAGAGAATGAAAAATGGAATGAAACTGCATAACTAAGTTAGTCCGTAACTACAACATATGTATCGAATATACACATTACACTGTACACATTGTCAAGAGCCAAAGGGAGCGCTTTCATATAAGCAAAAAAATTTCAGAGTCTAGTTAGGACTGAGCCCTAGGCAAAGTCTATCATTACAGTATCCATGCCCTGAAAGATTCTGGGATCTTAAAGTTTCCTTTGCTTCAAAATAGAATACATATATGCACATTCAATAGCCATTGGAAAAATGATTCTTAAAAACACCTTCTTCAGAATAATTCAGTATGAAAAACAACTTGAAAATAACTCAACATCGTTTCAATACAGAAGACTTCTCAGGACAAAACACCATATATATGAATTATAGTTATTTACTTTATTGGCTATCCTCTATCATCATTATGGCAAGAAGATATACCTGACTTTTTGTATGTCATAATTTTACGAATATTCAAATATTGCATTTACTGATTCATATTAAGTACACTGTTGTAATTATAATGTAAGAGAATTCTTTCCAGTGAAAGCTTACCATTAAACATATAATGCAACATGATTTCTTGTTATGTATTTTGGTAAGACTATACAAGCAAACTCTCAATTCATTAAAAACACTTTTCTGTCAAACTGTGTGCCCCATCATCATTAAAACACTGTATAAATGTACTTATACATTTGAAACTTAATGTTCTAACAGTTTAATTTTTTATTGACTTGAAGCTGCTCGTTCATGATTCATGGAGTGATCTTTAAATATAACTACTCACGCTGATGTCAGAACTAATATCCTCCTTAACTGCCGCAAATGATCTGTGTACATGTTAATTGACACATTCTTATTTTTCATTTCTTTGGTCATGATGACTTCGTGTGATTCAAAGAAAAAAACGAAAAATCTAATATATCCAGCACAGATCCAGACAAGTAAAAAGAAACAAACTTTTACTGTTGTTCATTTTTACTTTAGTAAAACGTCCATTCACTGCTAACTAAAATGAGAAATTATTTTAATCCATACCCTAGCTGTAAAGTCCACAGCAGCTCCCCGGTTTAGAAGAAGGGTTGCCACGTTAACATTTCCGTAGTGGGCGGCAATGTGCAAAGGGGTAAAACCACTCTATGGAAAGCAAAGAAAATAACAGTTGGTAAAGCATTTCACCTCTGTATGTTGCAGTCCCTGGATTAGTGAAGAAAATCACATGGCAATTGTTTACCTAATATGTGAGCAATACAATTAAGATAATAAATGCTTTAATAAGGCTCTCTAAATTTTAGTGCTATAAGATAGTAAATAACTAACTATATAAGCTGGTAAATAAATACCCTGCATTTCTTGGCAACACTATCTCTAATTAGCTTAATGATTTATCTGTTTACGAGATTTATTGTTTATACAAAAGCACGTTTCTTGAGTTGGTTTAGCTTTAGAGACAAACAGAGTATGATTAAACAAATAAGGTTTTAACCATAGGATTAACATAATTATGAACAAAAAATTTTTCTCCAGAGAAAGACTCAAAGCTACTGCTTTGTTTTGTTTGGGGCTTTTTAATAAGAACAAAAAACAAAAAAACAAAACAAAACAAAAAACCAGCATTGGTTGGTATTGTGTCTTTGGAACTATGAAAATGTTATGAGAAACTCTTACAGAGGATATACTATTCATTCCACATCATTTACACTGTCCTATTTGTCTTCTTTAACAATTGTGTTTAGTGAGACTAGGTTGTTATAATGAAAAAAACTTAAAAAACAAAAAACTAAACAATATACCTGGCATCAGTGTAAATATCAAATAAAGAAAAAAAATTCAGCCATGCCATTTTCACTATAAAAGTATATTAACTCTTTTATTATTAAAGTATGCAAAAATGTATTACCCCTGCTCTCCATAATTTTATCATTTTCTTTACTCAAATAAAAGATGATAGGAACAATAAAGACTGTTCTTACAGAATTGGATATCAAATCCTGCAGTTTTGAAGTTATTTTGTATCATTGCCTTTTATTTGAAATGAACTTTGATTTACATAATATTGTTTTTAAGAAATATTATCTAAATTACAACCATTATTTTCCTATTCACTTGATAAACAGTTTTTGGTAACTTTGTTTTTCAAATGTCCTAAATAGCATTTGGATATTTTAGGTAATAGAAATTCCTCTGTGCTATCAGCCAAATTAGCTGCAAATAATTTCTGACTATAGGGAAACAAGACACAAAATAAGAATAGTACCTATCAATCCAAATCCCACACTTGCGGTAAAGAGATTTTTGTGTCTACATGATGCCAAATATTCATGTCAAAATGGAGGGAAAAATCAGTCTACAACCAGGCTGTTTTATAAAATGTCAAATTTTTGTATTTTAGGAAATAACTGACTGGAAGTTTTTCATTTTTATCTTGATATTTCCTGTCATCCAGACATATCATGAATGTAAGTCTATCCCTTAAGTTACAATTTAATTTCAGAAAAAAAAACATAGTGATTGCTGGTGAATCATTTTCAAATTATTTTTCTCATTTGCAAAAATAAACCAATTTATTGTGTGACACAGCCTCATCAACCATCCAAGATGATGCCTCAGACTCAGACTTTTGGAGCATCCAACACAAAGCTTGTATAAGCCCCTCAGACGAACTCTTGCCTGATTGCCATGAAGGTAGAAAGCTCAGTTCACTTTTCTACAGGGTTATCAATGGAAGGGTTCCCCTCTTTGTTACTCTATTGTCCTCAAAGAAATATTTCTAACTCAGTACAAATCTCCCCAAACTGCTGCTTTCAACACAATATTTAGAGCCAAAATTGCTTTCAAAAATATCTCTTAAACAATCACCAAAAATCACCTAAAAAATGAAAAGTATTAAAATCAGTAATTAAGACATCAATTTATATGATTACAGTCTTGAGCAATTTCACCAAGCAACTGGGCATTTTTTTTTTAATCTATGTCCTAAGTTCCATGCACAGATATGGGACAGAAGAAATAATATACTAACTCAAGTATTCACATCTATATCACATATATTCACATCCTATCAATAGGTAAATTCGTTAATAAACAAGATATTAGTTTTAGAAATACACTACTCTCAGTAAAAACTAAATGAATGCTCAAAACCTCTCCAGGTCCACAACCCAGTGATCATGAGATGTTAGTCTAAAGAGTCCCCTCAACAAAGCGAAAATCAACCTACACAGTCACTTGCCTTTGAATACAGGTTAATTTTTACAATATACTTTCCACAATGTTTGTGTTCGTGCCTCTCTGCAGCAATGGTCAAGAAGAGACTGCTAAACACACACACACACACACACACACAAAATACCAAGAGGCTTCTGAACTGAATGTTCCTGGGGATCAATGTGACTTACTTTGGTATGTGGGAAATAGATGATCTCATATCAAGTATTGCTAAGACTTAGCAAGATAAAAGCAAATGCTTTGATCATGATATGCTCAATATCACTACTGATTATATACAAGGTGGTTAAAAAAGTATGGGGAAAAAAGGGCAACTGCAAGGAGATAGAAGGATAAAACAGTGGCAAAGAAACCTGAAATTTCACTTTGCTAAACTCTAACCTGAGAAATCTCATTAAGAGAAGATCATATTTCTAACTGGCAAAAAGTTAATAGTAAAGCTCACTCAGAAGATACATATTAAGGAAGAGTTTCATTTCACGCTCTATTCTAATAAGCCATTTAAATACTTTCACTGATAAAAAATAGCTTCTGATATATGTTACATTAAATTTTTTGAATGATTCATTTGCCTTAATTATGGGAAAAGTTTTTAAATTTCCTACTAATGGAAATTCCCATCATTAGTATGAATTAGTGAGCATTTATTCTAATTGGGCAAGAAACTAAAATCAGTAAAAACAAGATATATTTTGGTATAACCATAATACTGTACCTCAGTTGTCCTATTCACCATCATCTGAAGCAGTGTTGTGTGGGAAAAAGAGGGAAGATATTACACAGCGCAAAATGAAGGGAACGGTCAATCTGCTCGCTGTACTTGGATACACTGTTTCAACATGCCAAAATACATTCTACTGAGAAAAGAGACATCCATAACACTACATAACACAATTTTATCTTTCTAAAATTCTGCTTGTATTACTTTTGATTACAAAGAGAATAAATAAGCAGATTTCTAAAAAGCTGAACCTCATCTTTAAAAGAAAATTATCTTTAAATTTTTTTTGTTACTATACCCAGTAGACAGTCCCCTTCTTTCTGAAATACCTCCGAAAGTAATTTATTTCTTTCGATGACCGGAAGTAATTTTGCATTATCACCATGGCCTACTTCTTTATCATCCCCCAGGAGGAACCTGGCAGCCGAAGAGTTCCTTTCCACAAATGTGTTCGGCTTTTACCTTGGATTGTACGTCAGCATTGTGATCGTTCTGAAGCAGGAGTGCAGCGGATTTGGTGTCATCTTTCCTAGCTGCAATATGCAGAGCTGGCAGCCTCACTTTCCCTTTGGTATCATTCTCTAAGAGGATGGCCACTGCCTGGTTGTGTCCTTGCTGGAGTGCCACTGCGAGTGGCGTGAAGCCATCCTAGTAAAATGGAAGAAGAAAAAATCTTCCATTAATTTTTGGAAGCATGGGATTCAACTCTCAGCAATGCCTCTAATGTTTAAAATAATAATTAAGATAGAGAAGGAATGCAAAAGGATTAAATATTACTGTGAAGATTAAAGCATGGCTAAAATTAACAACTCAGGAAAACAACAGATGTTGGCGAGGATGCAGAGAAGAGGGAACTCTCTTACACTGTTGGTGGGAATGCAAGCTGGTGCAGCCACTCTGGAAATCAGTATGGAGCTTCCTCAAAAAGTTAAAAATAGAGCTACCCTATGACCCAGCAACTGTACTACTATGTATTTATCCAAAGGATACAAACATAGTGATTCAAAGGGGAACAGGCACCCCAATGTTTATAGCAGCAATGTCCACAATAGCCAACATATAGAAAGAGCTCAGATATCCTTTGGCAGATGAACAGATAAAGAAGAAGTGGTATTTACACACACACACACACACACACACACACACACACACACACACACCATGGAATATTACTCGGCCATCAAAAAGAATGAAATCTTGCCGTTTACAATGACGTGGATAGAACTACAGGGTATTATGCTAAGCGAAATAAGTCAGTCAGAGAAAGACAAATACATATGATTTCACTGATATGTGGAATTTAAGAAACAAAACAGATGAACATAGGGGAAGGGAAGGAAAAAGAAAATAAGATGAAAATACAGAGGGAGACAAACCATAAGAGATGCTGAACTCTAGGAAACAAACTGAGGGTTGCTGGAGGGGAGGTGGCTGGGGGGATGAGGTAACTGGGTGATGTGTATTAAGGAGTGCACTTGATGTAATGAGCACTGGGTGTTATATGCAACTGATGAATCACTAAATTCTACCTCTGAAACTGATAAAAAAAAAAAGATTAAAGCAATCGATAATCAGTCATTCACCATACTATGGACTGGCTTCATCAGATTGTTTTCTTAGTTGCTGTTCTACATATCTTGCAAAACATCTGCATTCCCTAACAAAGCATACTGCACATAAGATGTGCTTAAATGTATGTTTAGAATGGGAAAATAAAAATTAGAACCAACCTTAAGTAATACCACCTTATAGAAAGGAAAATGTGGGGAGGGTAGAGATAATGGAGAACAAGTCTGATTGAGAATCAAAGATATGGTAGCCAAGACAGGGAAATAAATTATGTGATTAACTATGCAAGTTGCTAAATATCCCTGTATTGATTAGGGAGAACAATAACTATCAATGGAATGGTCTATTACTAATTAATTTGGCAAGTTTGGGGCATAATGTAATCTAAAACCTTTTGGTAAATAAGGCTAATTCATTAATTTCGCACTTTGGTGAATTTGATATTATTTAGATCATTTAGATATAAAATTACATGTGCTAGGTAATGAAAAAACAGATTTTTAATTCTAAACTTAGAAAATAATTAAAAAAAATAGCACAGATCATCAAAGTTAGAAGAGTTTTAGGAGTAGATGGATAACCATGCTAGAAAAGTTGGAAGCCATGTTTTCTGTCTAGAAACAGGTATTCAGTTAATGGAAAGGTGGCAAATAAATAGAAAGGCTCTGTTTATGTTAAAACCTCCCTCACTCCACAAAAACTTGAAAACAAGTCTCAGCTAGAAGTTTCCATTCATAGAAGAGATGAGGGTAATAGGATCGTATATTAACGATTGCATTTTAGGGACAAGAACAATTTACCATAACCTAACTACTTGATTTGTTTCCAACAATAATCTTTTCAAACTGTAGATTGTTTTGAACAAAAATGATTTCCTATTGCACTACCACAAAAGGACTTGAATTTGTTTTAATAAGAATTGAATTTTAAATAAACACATCACTTAATATAATGGAAGAGTAAACCATGTAGTGTTGTAAAATGAAAAATAGTAGCCTAAATTTAGAACTTTGTTTGGCACAAATTAAGCACTCTGTGAAGGGGGAAAGAACAGGCTTATCATCATATACATATTTGATTATCCACTGCAACACTGTGAGAGTTTCTACAAAAAGAGTGCGGACTTTGTTTTTTCTTAGAGACAATGCATTTGCTGACAGTACAGAACCTAATTAAAAAGTTTTTAGCCTTCAATTTTGGTAACACTCAGGAAGAAGGAGGCGAGTAAAGAGTTATAAAAATGGTACTGGAGGGACAGAGGATTTCCCTCAGAGAATTTAACTTTGGATATCCACCACAACGATTTCATTCTAATCCACACTTCACGGGGGAAGGATAAATATCTGAAATGATTTTTTCAAGTACCTCAACTAACTCTATGAAAAAGAAACTCCTATTAAAATTCAGTAGCTTCATTTTTCATCATTTATTTACCAATGCTAATTGCTATAATAGGAAATTTCAAATATTTAAATATTTATTTTCAAACATGGGTTTCATTGCCATATTGAATAGTCTCATAATTATCTGATTTTTAAAGTGGTCACAGTGTTTTGATTAGTAGTTAATTTTTACAAATTAGTCCACTAGTCAGTTCAGAGTAAATGTCTTCTTTAGGCATAGTCACACATGTACACATGAGACTGTAGAAGGTGTTTGGCAATACAACAAAATATCAAACCATAATCAGCCATAAAGCTCTGCAAGGATAGTAGTTTTCTGCAGAATGACAGGCTATAAGGGAATGTGCTGAGGTTTGTCCATATGTGTGTTTCTGGATAATCATTAGGGTCAGCAGTGGGGGATTAATCAACTAAGTTTATATATGTCGAGTCAGGAAAAATCAGGATTTTGTTTATAACTAATGAGAATAAGCTGTCAGAAAGTTATTGCAATTGGCTCCATAAAAAGTTTTCCGTCAAAGGGACTGGAAATGGATTTAATAGATTACAATGATCTCTTCCCCGAGTGCAGGGTAGGAGGGAATTCATGTTTATTTCACCTAAAGACTTAATTGTTCAGAAAGGAAGTCATATTAGACATTAAAAATTATCAAGTTAGTTTCTGGGTGACAAACATCTATCAGTCATCTTCCACTCCAGGTCAGGAGTTTTAAAGTTTTATCAGTGGAGGCACGGAATGTGAAAAAGGAAAAACAAAGACTGCATAATCTGGTTGAAAGGAGTGAGGAGAGGCATGGCCGAGTGGAACTCTTTCCCCTTCTCTTCTGTGTCACCCACTTCCAACCTTCTGGTGGCCCCTTGAGGCAATTTCTCCAAAGGCCAGGATTTCTGGAGCATCGCTTAAAAATCATTGTTCTAAGCAACCACTGAACTTGCTCCTTAATCTGCCTAGGCAAAAATGGGAAGGAATAACAAAGCAAGTTCTGTTTACTGGAGGATATGCATAGGAGAAGGAAAGTGATGTTCTAATTTGGCCCACTCTAACCCCTTCTTATGTCTAGATGTCCTGAATATGCTGATACTGAATTGACTTTGAACATTCTATTTAGTTGTTGCTATAATCATAGTCACACAACTATGTGCCATAATTTGTGCTTCAGAAAATGTGAACTTTTTCTTCGTGACATACTCCTCATAAAATCGTGCTAACACAAATACCTACAAATCATTTCTGATCATTAAGAATTATTCCTTTAAAGAACTGAATTGGATCCTAACAGATAAAATATTGATGAAAAGAGATGGGTAGAATTTACTGTCATCAAATTTTAGAATAGTATACAAGCTCCCCAAACCTAGAGAATGGCAAATTTAGGGAAGCCAGAGCTCATGTAAGAGCAAATTGACATGAATCCCAAATCAAGGCATAAACTCATTCAACTGTGTACACTGGGTCATTCGTTTATGGCCACTGTTGTAGATGACAAAAGCAACGTGAACATTCCTAGCGTAATTTAGACAAGATAATGGAGATCCCCTGCAGGTGGATATAAAGAATGTGGACATTAAAATCAGAGCATTTGAACCTATAGGATTGACAGTCTCACCTCAGTAGCAGTGCTCTGATTAGCTCCATTTTCAAGCAGATATTTTACAACATCAATGTGGTTCTCCTGGGCAGCCATGTATAAAGGAGTGAAGCCATTCTGAGGACAAACAATAAAAAAAGACATCTTTAACCATTTGTAAAGTATAAACTAGGGAAGAATAACCAGACAAGGAAATAGAGAATACTATGGAGTAAACTTCTGAAATGATGAAACATATAACATACCTCCACAATGAATTATACATATATTTACTATTATAAAACTAACTACAATCAGAGTGAACCAATTCCCACACACAATTCCTAAAAGAATGAGGACAAAGTGACATGGAAGCAGTATTTTCCTCATTTCCTGTCTTCGTTTCAGTTTCAGAGATTTACTTTTCCCATCACCTAATACTGTTAAAGCTAAAAATATTTAGTTTCCTAATATAATCCTATAACATACATCAAATTCTCACTATACAAAATATTTATGTAATATCATCTGTATTTATTAATTCCTAAACTATGTAAATGGACCACCATTCTCTTGAATGTACACAGTTTAGCTAGTACCTTTAAAGGTATAAATTATTGCTCATTCCAAAACAGGCTGGGAGTGATTGCAAATCTGATTGAAAAAGTTAAAAAAAAAACAACCCTATATTTCAGTATTTCAATTGAAGTGGCATAGTTTATCCTGAACATCTTTATATTGTTTTTTAAAGCTGTTCTGAAATTCTATCATTCATTAATTCCCATATTCATTTATTCAGTTATTTACTAAAATCTGACCACTGTAGCTGGGACATCACTGGGATACAGTAATAAGACAGACATCTGCCCTCATGAAGCATATACTATGGTAATATTATAACAATATTATGTAGTCATAGTTTAAAAAAAAATCACTGAAATTATATAACTTGAGTTTAAAATTAAGTTTAAATAAGCAAATTTTCTTTTTATCAGATCCTTTGCAATACGTAACACCTCATGTAAAAAAAAAAGTAAAACTTTGTAAAAACAAAATAGAAAACACGGAATAATTCATAAACTCTCAAATCTAACAATTCTCTCAAAACAATGTCAGAGTCTTAAACATTGTTGATTCCCTTAAAAATTCCACGCATTAATGAGAATAAGCAAAAACATAAATGAGACTTCAGGGATTTTCAAAAACTTAAAAGGAGAAAAAATAACTATTTTGAAAAATTCTTCTATCTGCATTGTGTAAGTGTGGAAACATTATTTAAAATGGCCAAGACCCAGCAAAATATAAAAATACAGAGTATACAGGAGAACAAGAAAAGACATCTTAAATTTGATTATAAAAGAAAATCTGCAGGCTTCAAATGGAGGAGGAAATTTTAAAACTGAGAAATATTGTAAGAGGAATGAATTGACAACTTTGTAGGATTCAGGAATAACTTGCTGGCTGGATAGCATATTTTTTAAAACACAGCAAACAGGTGAAATCTTGGGTATTTTAAGAACACTGAAGAGGTGGCGGAAGGACAGAATTAGAGATTCAAAGGAAGGGAAAGCCAGTGAGGATGGTTAAAAACAATGAGTGGGTGTGGGATGGGGCTCTTTCATGACAAGTAAAAAGCAGGATGCAAAAGAAAACAAAAAGAACTTTTAATAGAGTAAAACAATTTGCTTACATGTTTTCCTCTGACAGAATCTTGTGTATAGATTAGGAGAAAGGGAGACGGACTGTGGTTGCCGGATCAATAGGGAAAAGAAATGTACCATTCTTAGGCTCCTGCCCTGGGTCCTGGGCTCTAGAGGGGCCAGGGGCCCTCTAGGGGCGTCCTCTAGCTGAGCTGGGCTGGGGATCCAGAGGAACAGGGGGTCACGCCCACCCTGATCCCCACAGCTCCCCTGATTCCAGACCACACACCAGGCATGCAGTTACCCAGAATCCTTGCCTACGCAGCGCCCCCGTGTGGTTGCCAGTGCTTGCTCAGACTCCGTCTTTGGGTTCTTCTCCCAAGGGTCTGTTGCCATGCCCACGCTGTGACAGACTGACTAATGGCCCCCAAATATGCCCTCATCTTAATCCCTGGAAGTTGTAAATGTTACCTTATATGGCAAAACGAACTTTGCAGCTGTGACTAAATTAAGGACCTTGAGGTTGGGAGATTATCCTGGATTGTCCAGGTGGGTATAATGGAATCACAGGGTTTTTATTTATTAATTTATTTATTTTAAATGTAATGCATGACCAAGCAAACATGTATGCATATCCTCCCCTCCTTTTTCTTTTAATATTTTATTTATTTATTTATTTGAGAGAGAGAGTGAGCAAGAGAGAGCACAAGCAGGGGGAGAGGGGCAGAGGGAGAGGGAGAAGCCTACTCTCCGCTGAGCAGGGAGCCTGACTCGGGGCTCGATCCCAGGACCCTGAGATCACAACCTGAGCTGAAGGCAGGCGCTTAACCGACTGAGCCACCCAGACACCCCTCACAGGGTTTTTATAAGAGTGAGGCAGGAGGTCAGAGAGGAGAGAAGACACTGTACTGCTGGCTTTGAAGTTGGAAAGAGGGGATGTGATCCAAAGGAAAGAGATTTTCACTTACAGCCTCCAGAACCAGCAGTGCCAGCACCTGGGTTTTAGCCTCGTCAGACTAATTTCAGATTTCTAAAATGCATTTGTGGTCATTTGTTACAGCAGCAACAGGAATCTAACAGACACCCCGAGAGTGGTTTGCTAGAGAGGGTGGAAATAGTGGATGGACAGAGCTTGAATGTGTAGGTCAGGATGTCCACACCTTTCCACATGATGCTCGTGTGGTATGGTTGGAGCCAGGGATGGGCCAGGAAGAGGAACCGGTTGCAGGCCAGGGGTTAGAATCCACACACACCCCCCGCCACAATCCTGCGTGGAACTCCAAGGTTTCCGAGAAGTCTACATTTGGACCTGTCATGTTGTTATAAAGATATATTTGTCAAGGTGGAAAGATAAAAGATATGTATGTAACAGCTTGATATACAGCTTTTAATTTTAAAAAGTGTATTGTAAGTGGGCCTCTTTTTCACTCATGTCCTGGGCTCTGCAAGTGCTGATAGTGGGCTAGTAGCAGAGAGAAAAGGGGGAAATATCCACAAGTAGTACGTGGGGGAGGGGAAGAAGGGCAGTGACAAACGAACATTCAGGATCTTGGTTAGAGTGTACCATGAATCCCATTTGTGCCTGGAGCCACCACCTCAGTACGCAAGGGCTTTCAGCAGTGTAGGGTGTAAATATGAAGAACAATAAAAATAAAACTAATTTGTTGAACTTCTGCCATATGATATTCACTGTGAGAGATGCTTTGGGAATATGTCACCTCAAATTACAGTGATCATGTGTCTCTGTTTGCCTGAGACAGTCTAAATTTATGTGTAGTATCCTGGAGTAATTATCAATAGCATCTCAGTTTGGATGGTAAATTAAATGGCCTAATAGTATCTCTAATACTTAGAATAGTGCTGCAACATTGGTACTCTCATCCTCACTTGTTTTTTTTTTTTTTAAGTAAACTCTACCCCCAATGTGGGGTTCAAACTCGTGACCCCAGTATCAAGAGTCACATGTTCCACCGACTGAGTGAGCCAGGTGCCCCTATCATCCCCATTTGAAATGAGGTAGCTGAGGCACAGACATTTGGGTAACTTGGCCAAAATCTCACAGCTAATAAGTGAACCAAAAGTGATGGACAGAAACCAGTCATGAATAGTCTTCTTCCCTATATAAAAGTCGGGACTTGATCCGATAGATGTGTGATCCTCAGCCTGGCTCTGCAACAGAATCTCCGGGGGAAACTTGTAAGAATGCCTAGGCACTACCCTGCCCCCTACTGAACTGGAGTCTCCATGTGTGAAGCCAAAGCACCTGCAATTTTTAAAAAGCTCAATTCTTGAAGTTACCTGAAGAACACTGGTATAGGTGATACAGAACAACTGAATGGTTTTGGGTAGGAAGTACCATGATCACATCTGCATTTCAGAGAGTTCACACCGGTGAGCACTAAGTGGACCACACCTACTCTGGTCTGGGGTAGTAGAAGACAAGAATGAAAGTAAGGGGTTAACAGGCTTTTGTAGTATTTGCAAGAGTGTATTTAAAAGATGAAGGAAGCATCAGCCAAGATAACATCCTGGCTAGGCAAGGGAGGGAACTATTTACTGTTACCAAATATGTGAAGTAAGAAGGCAATAAAGATTTACTATAGGTCCTAAAGATGTGGGAAATTACCCTTTCCTTACTTACTGATGCTACTTAACAAGAAAGACTCCGCCAGAGAATGTGAAACATGCCTCTGGGTAATTGGGACAGGGCATGGTAGCATTTTAACAGCACTGTAAACTTTATAGGATGGCTTTTATCCCTGCATATAAATAGGTTAACAACACAGGATTATTGGCCTGTGTTCATGCATCCAGGTGCTTTCCAATGTACTATGTCTATACACCTTTCTAAAATAGTCTGGCTGCATGTAGGGATAAAAGTGTATGTATTTTCTTCTTGTTGGTATAAAAAAGTCAAAGACATCTACAACCTGGACTGATACTTGGAGGATGCAAACAAGCACAAAATTATCAGCTGTCGTAGTAGTTTCAGTGTGACCAATAGGTGCCTCTACCAACCGGTTATTAAATATTTTGAACATTATTCCTCTCCATAGCAAATTATTAATTATTTTCCATTCATTTATATTTATTCAACAAAAATGTGTTTGGTGACTTTACTGCTAGGCATTGTGTTTAGTATAGTGATTCAGAGATGAAAGGCAAAGTCCTTGTTAATTAGGAGCTCACAGTCCAGAGGCTGAGATGGGCAAGTAATATGTTACAGTTCAGTGAACTCATACATAATTAGTTTCTTAAAAAAAAGAAAAAGAAAAAGGCAAAGGAGTGGGGTGCCTTGGTGCCTCAGTCGGTTAAGCATCCGACTCCACGCTGGGCATGGAGCTACAGGAAGGAAGGAAGGAAAGGAAGGAAAAGAGGAAGGGAGGGAGGGAGGGAGGAAGGGAGGGAAGGAGGGAGGAAAGGAGGGAGGGAGGGAGGGAGGGAAGAAGGAGAAGAAAAAGAAGTTTTTGTTACACGAGGGATATAAAGAGAACATCG